GACATCAGGTGGCAAGACAAAGTCCCCGACACCGAGGTCCTCGCTAGAGCGAACCTACCTAGTATCTTCACCACTCTGATGCAGTCTCAGCTCCGTTGGATGGGACACGTAGCCCGTATGGCAGACCACCGGCTCCCGAAACAAATATTCTTTGGAGAACTCACGATAGGCAAGCGCTCCCAAGGAGGCCAAAGAAAGCGTTACAAAGACTCACTGAAAGTGGCACTAAAGGCCTTCAGCATAAACACTACTCAATGGGTGCAGACAGCCCAGGACAGAGCCAGATGGAGAGCTGCTGTCAAGAAGGGGGCTAAATCCCATGAAGCTAAGAGAATAACCACAGCTGAGACACGCAGGCTTGTCCGAAAGAGCAACATTAGGTCATCGTTTGAAGCAACTATTCCATGCCCACGGTGTCATAGATTATTCCGAGCAAGGATCGGTCTAACAAGCCACCTAAGAGCTCACCGTAATCCCAACCCCCCCCCCGCCCGCCCCTAACCGGATGATTCGATGGTCCTTGTTGACTTCGACGGACGAACAACAACAAACGCTGTAACAGAAGTGGATATGCAATGCTGCATCACAAACTTTTCTGATGCTTGCACAAACTTTGGGTTCACTATTAACACAAAAAAGACTGAAGTCCTATACCAACCAGCTTCTTGAAGACCTTATGTTGAGCGCAACATCCAAGTATATGGTGAAAGACTTAAAGTGGTGAATAGCTTTTCTTATCTTGGCAGCACGCTGTCCCATAGTGCAACCATTGATGATGAGGTTAACCTCCGTATTGTGAGAGCCAGTGCAACCTATAGAAAATTGACTAAGAATGTATGGACCAGGAGAGGTATCAGCACTCAAACTGAAAGTATATGACAGCTGTTCTCCCTACGCTTCTCTATGCCTGTGAAACGTGGACGGTATACCAACGCCATGTCAGAATGCTGAACCACTTTCATACAACAAGACTCAGAAAAATCCACAACATTAAATGGCAGGACAGGGTCCCAGACACTGAGGTGCTCACACAGCAGGTCACCCCAGTATCTTTACCATCTTAATGAAGTCCCAGCTTCGCTGGGCGGGGCATGTTGTGAGAATGTCAGACGACCATCTGCCCAAAAGAATTTTCTATGGTGAGCTCGAACAAGGAAAGCGGTCTGCTGGCGGGCAGAAGAAACGTTTTAAAAACAACCTTAAAGCCTCACTGAAAGCGTTTGACATAAACCCAGACACGTGGGAGGAAAAAGCAAAGGATCAAACATCATGGCGTTCCACTTTACACAGGACCTCTATGCAACATGAAGTTGGCAGAACAGGGGCTGCAGAGCGGAAGAAGGCCCGATCTGACTCTGCTCCTGGAGATGCCCAATCATTCCCCTGCATCTACTGCACAAGAAAATTTTGTGCCAGATCGGCCTCATTAGCCATCTGAGCACCCACAGACAGAACTAGCACAAATCTGATGATTAAAGTGGTCATGGTTGACTTTGGACCGATGAACAACAACAAAAAATGAAAACAAAAATATTTTCCAAAATGCAATTTTATAGCTATCAACACTAGGTTTTAAAAAAACATTTAAGCATTCAGTGAAGATTTATAACTCCACCCAAAATAAAGTTCAAATTCTAAGTAGTATTTGATGTATTAGCTATGGTCTAGGTCTAGAATCAGAGAGTTTAAAAAAAAAAAGGGACACTGTGTGCATCATCTTCAAATTTTTTTAATTTCAGTTTGGAAAATGCAGTGGTAATAAATAATGAGCTAAAAACAATGCAAAGGTCTAATTAATGTCGAAAGAACTCGGTGTTGATTTGAGACTTGTAAAATGATCAGTTATTGAAATTACGAGGTATGAGATATGGTGTCTATAAATTATATATATGCTCAATGCTCTAAGGAAGATAGATAGTTCAAAATAATCAGAGACCACTGGGGCATCCATTAAAGGTATCCAGAGGTAGTGATAAAGCAAGATTGGGTGGTTCTTATGTTCAGTTTTTTAAAGCACCTAAGACTTAAGTTGGGCAAATTTCAAATAATCATCTTGTTAACTCAAACATGTACTCCTGGTTTCAACTGGTTTCAACTTTGACTCAATCAAGCTTCTTGCACCAAATTTAAGCATACCAGGTACCTTTTTGACTGCTTGACCATATAACACTTAATAACAGACTATTACAAATAGAGCCACATTATAAAAAAATCTGTCACATTAATAAAGAAGAAAACGATTATCATGATGGATTCATTGAAATATGTTGAACATTTATAATCTTTTCACCATCTATTGCATTATCTAATCCACTGCTGTTTGTTTCATTACTGTTGTTTCTTGTACTTTCTGATTCTTCTGTAAAAATAGTTAAATTTAAAATAAAAATCCAATGGTTTGAAAACAAAAGGTCAAAAATAAGTCTTTAATTTTAGCAAAACAAAACATTCTCCTTCAGGCAAAAGAACATCCTTCAAAACTTTAAATCTTTTGCCTGGAAATGTTTTGGTATTGAAACTGAAAAGAACCAATGATAGTACATTAATACAAAATTTAATATGACCAGATACATATAATTACTCAAATTGCTGTAATTGACATGTGCAGGGTTTATGTACATAACTAAAAACATTTTCATGACAAACCTTCATCTCCTATAACTGACTCGTCAATTTCAATGGTTACCACATGTTTTCCAGGTATCATAGCAAGTCCTAATATGCGAGGATCTTCTCTTGGATCAAGATCTGGAACAGTGAAAGTAAATAAATTCTGAATCGTGCTCATTTCCATAACTTCTTTCATTTTATGAACTCGTAAAATTAAATTTTACTTTGAGAATGATTTTTTTCATGTGATTATTTCTCATTCACAGTTTCCTTCCTCTATGATCAAATTGAAAAATAATGAAAATATTACCTGGAGATTTCAAATACTCTTCGCAAGATCCCATTATGATGTTGCAGTCACAGTCAGTGCACAAAAATGTGCCTGAAAGAACATATTAATTAATACAAGATTTTTAAAAATCTTAACATTTCGGTTAAGCAAAAGAATATTTTATAGAATATTTGTATTACAAATGTTTTTCTCACTGAGGAGCAAGAATATACCACTTTATATTGGCCCAGTCCAGAAAAAAAAGCACAACTTAAAGGATAAGATTACCTTTTTAAAAATATATGAATAGCAATTTATCAGTAACCCAATCACCAGTACACTATAAATATATGTTTGTTCTTTCCATTTTTACAGTAAGAAGAATATTTTTTAATAATTAGGTTTAAAGATACCATACTTCAGTTTTGATTAAATGAATGCTTCTTTGATAACACTAACTCTCACCTATAAGAGTTCTTCCATCAGTCATTTTTATCCTCATACTTTTATTTAACCACTGCTCAAGCTTTTGATGGGTTGCTCTTCTTTCTTCAATACCAATAGTATCCCCACTGCCTTTCTGAAATAACAGAGAAAAATAATGAATAAACAACTTCTTGTGACAACTATCAAAATCAATGTACACTTTTAATTCCCCTACGCACCTATAAATTGAGAGAGATACCTCATAATTTATTCCAAGTGCCATATAATGACATAAATATAAGTGCCTAATTTGTTAACATCTCAATATGTTGGTTCCGATCGTATCTGACTAATCGGGTCCAGTCAGTTATTTCAAACGGCTTGACCTCGAAGAAATCTAATTTCGAATTCGGAGTACCCCAGGGCTCAGTCCTAGGCCCGGTGATTTTCACGATGTACATTCAGCCCCTGAGTGCAGAGATCAGACAGTTTGACATGTTGTATCACATGTTCGCAGACGATACAAAACTTCATCAATCCGTGATCCCTTCTCAGTTCCCTCAGCTGCTCAGTATGACACGGAAGACAATGGAGTCGGTTATGCACTGGATGACCATAAACAAGCTCAAATTAAATGATGATAAGACTGAGCTGCTCAAACGGTGCGGTACCTGGGTGTCTACCTAGATAGAAGACTAACTTTTGAAAGTCATATTAACATGCTATGCAAGGCGATTTTTCTGGAGCTGCGCAGGATTAGTCACATCAGGCCCTTCCTAACACTTGATGCAACAAAGAGGCTGATGTCTGCATTTGTGCTATCACGCATGGACTATTGCAATGCTCTCATGGTGGGTCTTCCAGCTACACTCCTGGATAAAATTCAAATAGCACAGAATAATGCGGCTCGCATTGTTCTCCGCAAACGCAAGTTCAACCATGCAAAAACACTTCTGAGAGAGTTGCACTGGCTGCTGGTGCGTGCTCGCATAGAGTACAAAATCGCGACTTTGTGCTACCGCTGCTTAAATGACCTGGCGCCGTCCTATCTGAAAGAGCTGCTGATGCCTTATGTACCCACTAGAGAGCTCTGCTCATCCGATAGTGGCAAACTCTCGACACCACGTGTTTGCCTTGAGACTTACGGAAAGCGCACTTTCACATTTGCTGGTCCAACAATTTGGAACGCCCTTCCTGTCGATCTCAGAAACAACCAGACACTGGAGTCCTTTAAAACCGATTTAAAGACACGTCTATTTCGCAAACACCTTCTGGGATGATTGTCTACCTTATTTTCCAATTAATGCATAATGGCTGTGTTGCTTATGGTTGAAATGGCTAGAAAGAGTTTGTCATTGTATGCTTGTAATTAGTTTTTGTAGTGTTGTGTTTGTTTTAAATGTGGTAAATTATAGATTTGTTTCTTGTTGACTTTGTACCGCCCTTCGAGCCTTTGGGGATGAAGCGTGTTTTTGAAATGAACTTTATTATTATTATTATTATTTTATAAGTACTTTTGGGTAAATATGATGTAAATAAATGCCAAAATGTCTTAAACACAAGGGTTGGCAACTTTTTGGTCGTATTGTGCCAAATTTGGAATCCTCTTTCAGTATTTCTTTAGACTTATGCCTTTTAGCAAGCCTGGGGCAGAAACCATCTACAAGCATTGTCCATTCATCTTGGTCCAATGTTTTCTTTCCATTAATCTTGGTCCTGTGCTTTTCTTTCTAGTTGCTTCCAAGTGTATCCCATACTTTGTGTGTCTGCAGATTCCCTGTTAAAACATCTGGTTACATTTTCTAGCGGTTTACAAGGAGTGTGCCCTATCCACCTTCATCTTTTCCTTATGATGTCTTCAGTAACAGGCTCTTGGTATGTGTTTCCATTAAGTCTTTGTTGGTGATATTTGTCCATTTTATGTTCAGGATCTTTCTAAAGCAAGTGTTTGTGTAATTTTTCTGTGACTGTGTTGAAGTTTTGGTTCCATAGATTAGGATTCGTTTGACATTTGTGATGAAAATTCTGACTTAAGTTTGCAGACTCAGCTCCTTTGACTCCCATATTTTCTTCAGTACAGGTGGCTCAAAAGCTGACTGAGCTTTTCCAATTCTAGCCCTAACATCAGCTTTGGATCCACCATTTATGTCAAAGGTGCTGCCTAAGTATGTGAAAGCCTCCACTTCTTCTAGTGCTTTTCTAGCCAGAGAGATTTGCTCTTGGTAGGTTGAGTTTACCTTCATGATCTTTGTTTGCCTCTATGTTGAGTCCAAGCTGTGGCTGAAATTGTGGCTCTTGTCACATCTCTTGTCCTTTTCTGCTTTCATTGTTGGTTGTGGAACAGAAGTGCAACATCACCTGAAAAATCTAGGTCATTCATTTTTTCCCCATGGTTTCTACTGTATCCCATTTCCATTTTTGTCTGTGGATTCTTTTATTATCCCGTTAATGGTAAGGATGAATAGAAAGGGGACTATTCCCATTTCCATTTTTGTCTGTGGATTCTTTTATTATCCAGTTAATGGTAAGGATGAATAGAAAGGGGACAATATACATCTTGTTTGCACTATCCAATCTGTGAGTCTACTTTCATGTACCAGCCTGCATGTCATTTCTTCATAAGAACTCTGACTCTGAATGATCCTGACCAGTTTTCCTGGTACCCCATAATGCCAGAGAATTTTTCATTAATTTAATAATCATAGAATTATAATTAGAAAAGATCAATGGATTTAATACTGTAGAGTATAATTAGTACAGTATACACAGTATAATAATAATAGTCAACGATTATAAATACTAGCGAGACCTCGGCATGCGTTGCAATGCCACTCAAAGAAAGAATAAGTTTGTGTTTTATAACGTTTTTGGACTAATTTTTAAATAGAAAATATTTTTTGTTTTTTCCGTCTGGTGCGTACACGAATAAATTAGAAGGTTTTTTGGATGCGTAAGCAGGCAACATACAGCTGTCCACGTGAGAAGCATGGATTTTAAAAATTTAGTCCAATTCATGCACTACACACTTGTAGTGTAGCGAATGATCCACCCACGCAATAGCCCTGTTTGACATTAGTTTTTGTAGTGTTGCGTTTGTTATAAATGTGGTAAATTATAGATTTGATTTTGTTGACTTTGTACCGCGCTTCGAGCGTTTGGGAATGAAGCGTGATTTTGAAATGAACTTTATTATTATTATTTATTATATATATATATAGCTCACATAATAAAGAAATATAAAAAATTAAGGCCCCCGGCGCCAAACGCAAAATTGTAAAATGTTTGTACTAATTCAGAAATCTACTTATTATGTCACACACAAACTGAAATGTCACTTATATTTGAATTAATTCCATCCATCCATGCAATAGCTCTGTTTAAAATTATATTTGTATAGCTCTTTAAAAAAAACAAAAATTTAGGGCCCATGGCCCCAAAAGAAATATTTCAAAATGGATAAACTAATTCAGAAACCTTTGCGGGCCTGTGCACAACAACTTACGCAAGTTTTATTTCAATCGAATGAATGGTATAGGAACACATACAGAAATTATGTTAAGTTCATTAAAAAAAAAAAATTTAGGGCCCCCGGCCCAAAACGGAATATTGTAAAATGTTTGTAATAATTCAGAAAAATTTGCGGGAGTGTGTACAACAACTCACAAAAGTTTTATCACAATCAGATGAATGGTATAGTAGTGTTTACGGAACATACATACATTAATTTTTTTATATGTATAGATATAGTTTACCGAATAAAAGACATCTTTTGCGCAACTATTCAAGGAGGCGTTCTATCTGTCTGCCTGTCTATCATCTATCTATCTGTCTGTCTGTCTATCTATCTATCTAATCTATCTAACTATCAATCTTATCTATCTATCTATCTAATTATCTAATCTATCTATCTATCCAATCTATCTATCCAATCTATCTATCTATCTAATCTATCTATCCAATCTAATCAGTCTGTTTGTCCATCCATCTGCCAGTCTGCTCGTCCATCCGTCTGCCTGCCTGTATGTCTGTCTGTCATCTATCTGTCTGAGAAAATCTTAAACCATCTCTATCGTGTAAAATGATTGTAAAATGATGATATTTATGGGTATAACTATGTAAATGTACTTACGTTTGTTAAAGTCATTGATTTTCTTAATTGGTAAACATATGTTCATTTTTAAAATGAGAATACCAGTATAGCATCTATTTTTCACAACTGTAATATCATTGGATTTAAATATATTGTCATCCAGGTAAAAATGTACACACCCTATTTCCTACCCCGGATATATATGTACCTAAGAATGTTAATTGTTTATCCAATTCATTCTGAGGCGTATCTTGTGCTGCCTTGGACAAATGAAAGTATCGTATTTTGCTTTGTTCTTATTTGGATGAATAATAAGTGCATTACCATTTGAATAATATTTGGCTATGTAGTTTCACTGCATTAATTGAATTAAACGCCATTTTCTCATTAAAAGTTTATTTAAAGGTTAAGTTTTTACTACCTTATAAATTTCATAAAAGGAAAAGCATATTTTTGGAATGAATAAAAAGTAAAAACTTATTAAATGTTAAAAATAAAAAGCTAAAGTTGTATTTAATTTTAGTAAATTTTAGCAATTTAAAAAAAGCAATAATTTATATTTATGAATTTTACTTTTTAAAAGGGAAAAATAAATTATCAAATCTGCCACCCGCGGTTATTAAATACAAGAAACTTAGCGCTGTGGCTAAAATAGGCTATGATGTCATTTGCGTATTTATTTAGATCCAATTAATTTTAATTTTATTTGCAGTATTAACAACGCAATGAAAAACACACTAAAAATAACAGATGTTTGGATTTTCCCGATAAATGTGATTTCAATGCAATCCTTATACTTATAAGTTGAACTTTATTCTCTAATTTTATATTATCTTTTCATGCAGACAATTATGCTCAACCGTTAATCATTGAGTCAATGTAAGTTTATGGAGGAGTATTCCAAAGAGTGGAACTATATATATATATTATATTTATATTAAAAAGGGATGCTATGAAAATGAAGCCGAGTGCATAGTTTCCAATAATGTTTTTAGTATTTAGTATTTGTCATGGCACTCATGGTGGACATTCTTCAGACATAAATCATAAAACACATCACATCAGTGAAACATAGGAAAAGATTGAGTGCCCCAAGTAGATTTCTACTAGGTTAGATTTCATTTTCATAGTTGAAATGAGCATAGCATATTTCAATTAATATCAGTTTCCAGACCCCTCTTTAGCTGGGGGGTACCCCCCCCCCCCCTCCCCCCCAATCCATGAAAGTGTCCCGTTTTTTCCAGTTCATGATTTGGTCACCCTAGACTAGACTGACTGATACTAGTGATAATTTCATTTTCATAGTGGAAATGAGAATAGCTTATTTCAATTAATATCAGTTTCCCGCCCCCCCTTTAGCTGGAGGGTCCCCCCCCCCCCCCCCCCCCCCAATCCATGAAAGTGTCCCGTTTTTTCCAGTTCATGATTTGGTCACCCTAGACTAGACTGACTGATACTAGTGATAGTGATACTTAGATTGGTAAAGTTAGATACTCTGATACTGATACACTGATGATAATGAAAATGAATGAATGATTTTGATTTATCATTTAAAAATTTAATTTAATTGATTTGATTATCATAATAAAATTAAAATATATATAATATTAATATAATTTTATAAATTACATATATATTTTTTTTTTTTAAACTTAAAGCCTAGGCTAATAATACTAATATTTTTTATAGCCTATGTCATATTCGCTTGATAGGGCTAACAACTAACACTTTTAGACGGTGGAAATTTTAAGAGTATAGAAGCTGTTAAATTTTTTTTTTTAAATACCTCAGAGTCGCCAGCCATATTATAAAAAATTGTTTCTGATTCTTTCACTTCTTCAAGAAACTTAAACTTTTGCACCCAACCAGGTAAAATGTAAATATAAAAAGAATATCACGGAACAAATTGCTTTAAATTAAAAATACCGTATTTATGGTGTAATGATAGCAACAAACACACAATAAGTCATTACATTGTCATATTTTGGCTTGGGCATGGGCGCCCGCAAGGGGGGGGGAGGGGGGCACTTGCCCCCCCCTGGATTGATTGGATAAAAATTTTTTAGACAAAAAATGTATTAAAGTAAAGAGAAAATAAAGAGGAAGTAACTAAGCTGATGTCCTGTCCGTTCGTTCACCATACAAATACGCTACGGCTACAGTAAATTAAAACTACATTAAAACATTACTAAAAATGTTTTGCCCCCCCTGGAAAGTTAATCAATTTTTTTGCCCCCCCCCCCCCAGAAAGTTTTCTGCGGGCGCCCATGGGCTTGGGGTGGGTAGGGAGAAGGAATCCTGATCAATTGTCATGTCCTCCGCTGGAGCTTACGCCGCCCGAAGAGGCATTGATTATTGATTGTCACTCGTTCCCATCAAATAAAAAAAAATCTCCGTCACTAAGTTGACACCAATTACTTCTGCCACGGGCTTATCTAGGTTGTAATGAGCCATTGACATAGACACACATAATTTTAACTTGCTGTAGTGTGGAAGATGGCTGACAATGTTTCTTTAGCTTGTCTGTTCAAACTTTCACATTTATGTCAGTTTTATTTTCTTTCATTTTCATCATCATATTTATAAAAAGATGTCAGTCTCTCACTTTTGCAGACTTTTAAACTCCCCCATCCCCCGTGTAAAACTTTAGTAAATGAAAAGAGGCTTGACTGGTTTATTTCGCCTCCTCTTTTTTATACGCCTTTTCTTAGGTTGCACTGTCCGTTTGTTAGTTTGTCTGGGTCAAATCTTGCAACCTAATTGTGAACCACGTCCTGATGTTCAATTAAGCTGAATGTTTTGAACACTTACTTACCTACCCACCCCAACCCAATGACAATACAACTCTTCAGGATCAGTAGGTCACCAGTGACTTCCACTGATATCTCGAGCCCAAAATCGCCAAATTTGCCACTTAGTCTCTAACCTCGGTTATCTCGATCCCCATGACCGATCGCTGGCTTTTGAAAATTATATACAACAGAAACGTGCCTACTTCAAACTGTGGTATATTGAAATGAAATGGCAATATTGTTGTCCGCGCAAGAAGCGACATGCTTGCAAACAAATGGTCGCAGAACCCGTTCTATTTATAGTGAACCCGCTTGTCGCTTAATACTTAAAAGGCTTTCACACGTTCTTACAGGTTGATTAAAAAAAACAAAAAAAACAACAGAATAGAATCCGTATTTGAATTAAATGAACTGGCGAATCCGGAGCGAGAGAAAATAAAAACTCGCTAATCCCCACCTGAAAAATATTTAGCCTCCGGAAAAGTGGCACTCCACATATGCCTTGTGTTGTTAGCAAACATTTAAGTACATTTTTAAAGCATGTCGATCGTTTCATCAAGCGAATTGCGGTATCGCTGTTGTGTAAAAAAAAAATCATCCAAAAACACATGCATGTAGGCTACATCTAATTTATAAATACACATTGTGTACATAAAGATATTTCAAGCACATGTTAATATAATGCCGCCATATTGGTTTCCGTTTATCGCAATCATCAACATAACCGGGTTATACTGTAATTAAAATAAACAAAAATTATTTTTCTAAAAAATTATAACTTAAATTAGCTGATTTAAATCCTCTCAACCCTGTCAATATCATAAAATAATGCGTCTTTAAAGTTCTTTCATGAAAATAATATTTGCATGGTGCATTTCATCATTATGCAATCCAAAAATGCCTTTATTATTTAATTCACATGGCTTCAATCAAGCCTAGAACATAATATTAAAGTATATATTATCAGAAGACGACGAAATCTTTTTTCTCCAAAACTTAGGGGACATTTTTTTTTTTTCTTCTAAAATCTTTAATTTAAAAAATAATAAATACATAATTTAATTAGTAGCCTAGTCTATATCAAGCCTGCACAACTCAAAATGTAAGGTGGGCCGTAAGCCTAATACTTTATGAAAAACTTGTGCGGGGCAAAAGAAAATAGGACATGGAGAAAGCTATTAAGAATAATGAATATTTCGTTACTTCGCGGACGGTAAAGAGTGTGCTGGCGGGCCGCAAGTGGCCCGCGGGCCGTATGATGTGTAGGCATGGTCTATATTAATATTAGCTAATTTTTTACAAATAGTGAATTAGAGGAAACTTACCGGACCGGACCGTACTTGCAGAAAAAAACGAACATGACTAATTTATAACAACTATCAAATTAAAATTAGTGATTTCAATCATTTGAATTATAAATAAAATAAACAACCGATACACTCGTCTCAAACTAATTAATAATTAATCTATACATTTTTTACTCATAATCATATTTCAAATTATTTGTGCTACTTTTTTGCTGTCTACCTTATATCACGGCGGGTGACAGTAAAATGGGCCTCCTGCCTGAGGAAATAAAAAGAACAACAACCAAACATGTAGTGGGGTAGTTGGGAGTCCACTGACTAAGCGGCTGAATGTTCGAGTAAAAGAAAAGGGTAAAAAAGGTACACATATATATTAATGTGGTCCATAAATATATTTTGAGAATCTTTTATATTGAAATATTATAAACTGTCATTCGACATTGAATTGGTAATGTCACTAATCAGAATCACTAATGATTAATGATGCAGTTGGTCGATGACTGGTATTCGTGGTGGTATTGTTAGTTTAGTGCCTCTTTCAAAGTCACAGTAAAATCATAAATTCACTGAGTGAAAGTTTGATGGGACCTGACTTGATAGGCGGTCTTAGTCCGTAAGTTGATGAAAGTCCTCAGTTAATTTGAGTACATATGACTGTGACTATGCATGGGCCATGGTCATGGGCATGGGTACATAATTTTATACAATTTATGATTGACTAATTTTGATTTTGTTTAAACTTTGATGTCAGAGCATTTATTACCCTAAAACTAAAATAGTGTGTCCCCATTCACTCCCCCTTTTTCCCCCACACAGCCCTGAGTGTGTTAAGGAATTTTAAAACCAGTTTCAGTTAGAGAAATTGTATAATTTTACCAGCCCATCCATTGCCTAAACATAATATCACAATATATATGAGTATGAGAGGGAGAAGGAAGTGCAATACATGTGCTGATATCTAAAACTCTCGCTCAATAATAATCCTACTTTAAAAAGTTTTGATATTGGTGGATTAAGGTTATAAATTTATATTGGATTAACAAATAAGTACCGGTAACTTAATTTTTAATAGTTAAATTAAAATTAAATCCATGCCCATGCAGCCCCACCAGCTAAATTTTGTGGGCCTCCAAATAGATCACAAACAAATTGCTTTCTTCATTCATTATATACAGAAATCTATGAAAAGTTATATTAGAGAAAACAGAAAAGCTAAACAAACATCGAATCGTTTTATTTACTTATTTTATTTTGCATTTCATTTTGTGCATTAAGAATAGATAAATTATTCTATATAATACAGCATTTATTAATGTGCAATCAAAGTGGTCCATGCCTCATTTTCCTTTGGGTTGGTCATGTCTAAATTAAAAAATTAAATGTCACTATCTTACATTTTATATCATAGAGTATTATCTTTCTTTGAGATTCTTCCAAACTACATAGTGATGCTTAAAATGGAATACTGTAAAGGGAGGGGGAGGCTGACAGGCACCAAAGGGGTCGTTTTTTTTTTCTGAAAGAGTTTTAGAATCACTGGCCTAGAATTTTATATCAGGAGTGAATCAAAAGAAAATCCTCCATTTCTAACATTAGTGCTGTCTGAGTCTGATGAAAATGGGTTGTTGCAAAGAGAACAAATAAAGACTTCTCCAATAACACTAGTGAAATTTTGTTGTATCAGGGACAACTGTAACTGATCACTACTTACTTATAAAAATCAACTATTTATGGCCAACGCAGAGTCAAATAAACAATATTAGGGAGGCAGACGAGCAGCTCTGTTTTTTTAAAATTAATTCAAGCCAAAGGCACACTCAATGTCTATAGGGGCCTTACAGTTGTAGTTCAAAAGGCCTACAATTTGTACAATACTACTCAGGTTTGCCCTGAGGTAGTGTCCCTTAAAATAACTTACATATTTTTAATCTTTATATTCCCTTTTTAAAGGCAATTTTGTGATCATAAATATTTTCACAATTGTATTATTAATACAACCATAATTGAATCTCAAAGCTCCATTTCAAGGCAAATAATTTATTATTTTTAATCTTGCAATTATTATTTAAAAATATACATCAAAAGTAGAAATATAAATTCATGTTTAATTAGATAATTATTTAGGTATATAATTTTTGTTTAATATACATCAAAAGTAGAATTTTAAATTCATGTTTAATTAGATAATTATTTAGGTATATAATTTTTTTTTAATTATTGCCATACCAAACTTTTTTGGAGATCAGTTCATCTTTATACAAATTTGCACTAAAAATAAAATGTACTGTAATTTAATATTACTATTTAATTTAATAGCTTTTTAGTCTTTAGTCAAGGGGGCCATCCAAACAGAATGTACGCTCTGAGGGGTGGCCTATTTATGTCTAATTCTAATGTTGTAAACATCTCACACAGTGGTATGTAATTGTTTTCATCTTGTTGCTTTGTGTTTTCACAAGTAAACACGCTAAGATATCACAAAAGTAGCACGGAAGCAACAGTATTATTCAGTACACCATCGCCTTTGAAGCCATCAAAAATGATGTCAGGAGTTTAGGGGAGGTGGGGAGGGGGGGAAGAGAAGAAATGGGGGACGAACCCCCCCCCTTTGTGATGAATATTGTTTAAAGTGTGGTACATGTATCTAATTTGTGTCATAAATTTGTGACAAAGAGGGGAGGGTGTACGCGTATGGGTAAAAATCTGCAGAAATAGCGTGCCATTATTAATGGGATGGTCCGTTCGTATGTTCAATGTGCGTGACATATTTAGTTATTTTTTTTGGCTTCAAGCTCTTGCAAAATTTATGTTTTCACCAGTCACACTATATCTAATTCTAACAAATGCACTTACTTCAAGATAGCCATTACGTTATTAATAACTAAAGGATTACCCCTTTCACATGGCCCTCCCCAAGGGCAATGTGGCACTCCAGGGTGACGTGGCGCATATTTTGGAAACCAATGGGCTCACCAGATAGCTGTGAAAACCTGGGACAGATTTTTTTTTTACTGTGATGTCATAATTGTGTATAAATAAATTGATTTGTTAGGGTTTTTTGTGTTTGGGTGGGGGGGGGGAGGGTGTCAAAAGTTCAATGTATTTATGGTTAGGGAGTGTAAAAATGTATGTGTGCAACGGGGAGGGGTAGAAATTGGACTTTTTTGCATACATTCTGTATGGATGGCCCCTAGATAAATATACCGGTATGCAATTATAATATACAGTACATTTTTATTTTATATTTAGTGGTACCATAATAAAATATTCACCTTTCTTCCTACAGAGGTTACAAATGTTGAAGTATGGCAATGAGATGTCTTTGGAACTGCAAATGTCTCCTGTTAACAATGATTCTCTGTGTTTTAACCTGTAAACGCAAATTGAGCCGCTTATGGAAAAATGTTGTTTTATACCGTTATGGACTAGGCATTTGTCTTTCGGTTCTGTTGCTTATCTTGAATATCTTAACCTATAAATATGGCTGCCAAGGTTTGAGAAATCACATCAACCCAGTTCAGCTTACACATGGCTATGCCCCAGTGTTCCCTCATCACTATTTTCACAAACCTTTATTGTCGAATGAAACATATGACTTAAAGAGAAGTTACTTTAAAAAGGAAACAGACAAACTAGATATTTATTTACATAGCTATGTTGTTCAAGACATTCTAACAACTGAATTTGCTCCAGTTGTTCATGTTATCTGGTGTGATGTAGGACCTTTTACTTTTGCACATTTTTTAACAGTTCTTTCAACTTTCAAAGTGTTAAGCCCATCAGTTTTGAATCTGCATATAATAAAAGAACCTGATCTGGACCCTGATGGTTATTTCCAGTTTCTTCCCGATTTAGAGAGGGATCTTCCACCACTTGTAAAAAAGATTTTAATACATCCAGATGCATGTTTTGGTAATAAAGAGGAAAAAACCATAGCTTATATGAATATATTAGGTGCCACTGGTGGTTTTGCCATAAATGGACGAACAGTAATTGCTCCATCACCTGCACTGAAAATAATTCTTGGTCATGAAATAAATATTGCAACACAGGGAGATGGAAATGCTGATCTTTTATTTGTTGCAGCACACACTAATGTGTTGGAGAACATACCTAATGAAGAATCACTTACCACATTCCTTCAGTCACATGCTACAGAGTATTTCAAATGTGAGAGCGTGAGGTTATTTTCATTTGTATCACAAAATCTTTGTTCTTTTGTGCATGAAGATATACTTCCAGTGATCATATTTAATGGTACATCTGATTTTGATCATCTCGCAAGATGGATTGCCTATGGCTCTTCAAAGAAACTGATTTCTATGCCAGCTGACAGAGTAATAGTTCCTAACATTGTACACTATGTCTGGTTAGGACAACGTGAGCTTGACTTTTTTTCATATCTTAGTTTACTTAGTAGTCTACATGTTCTCCAAGCTGACAGTGTTTACATCCATGGAGATTACAAACCTTTAGGTGAACTCTGGGAACAAGCAAGAAGAGACCCTCGAGTTAAGTTCATCAACCGTGATTTTCCTGCCTCTGTCTATGGTGAACCAATTAAGTTGTATAAATCACATGCCAGCGATTATCTTCGTGCAGATATACTTTTACGTTATGGAGGCATTTATGCAGATTGGGATGTCATATTCTTACAAGAAATACCACTTTCTGTAAGACTCCATAGCACAACAGCAAATGTGGATTGGCCAGAAACAGGTGCTTTTCCAGATGTATTTAATCTTGGTGTGTTGGTGTCAGCACCTGGAGCTCCATACTTAAGACATTTTCTAGAATCTTATAGATGGTATTTGGATAAACATTGGTCTTACAATGCAATTCACATACCATATAAAGTATATGAAAAGAAACCTCAATCATTGAATATAAACAGACATTTGCAGGTAAATATGCTATTTGATACTATAAAAAAATTTACCAATTACCAGCATTTGTTCTGGTGAATCACATAAACATCAGACCATATTGTCAAGGATTATTTTTGGGGTGTAGGAATGAACATCCATTTTAGAAACCGCTGGTTTAAATGACTATTATTATCAAAATGAATTAGTCATGCATACTAGTTGTACCCTTTTTCCCATTAAAATGTAAGGGGTTGTTCGCAAATTACGTCATGCTCAGGGTGGAGGGGGGGGATTGAGAATTTGTGACACTCTAACAGCAAAAACTGTTGTGGCCGTTTTACATGCGGCTTGGGGAGGACTTTGTTGTTTTGCATTTTACATCACAGTTTTCTAATAATACTTAATACTACATCTTAATCCATTATGGGAAAATGTTAAAGAATAAAATCGTAATTTAGTTATGAAAATTTTATGTATGCTTTAAAATTTTTTAGGCGTGTCATGACACGGGGGGGGGGGGGGGGGGGGGGGTAAAGAATTTGTGACACTTTGTGACGGGGGAGAAGGGGTCTGAAGAGGTCATTTTTTTTTGCTTGACGTAATTTGCGAACAACCCCTAAGGAAGTCTGCATTACTAAGGATTTACATTGCATAAAAAAATTCCTGGTTATTTTAATAGAAAATGGTATGTTATAAGTTTTAAGAATGCAACTTCTTTGTCTTAGCAATTAATTTATTTGTGTATGTTTACTTTTTTATTTTCAGATATTATGTGCACAAAATGTATGTCACGCACCCTGGCTTCACGACTACAAACAAGAGACTGCTGACCATTTAAATAGACAAAAATTAAATTGGAATAAAGATGCCCTTGCAATACACTGGACTTACCCAGATCCTGATGAGTTTAAAAGCAAAGATAGTCTAATCAAATCAAAAACTATCACAGGAGAAATTGGAAAATTTGTTTTGAAAAGGGCTAACCTAATTTCTTAGGTTTAAAATTTTAATACAACTCTTGCAATGCATTTTTTTAAAAAGCTAACTTTTGTTGCAAAATTCTGGCAACCAAATTTTTATATGTAATTCTTTTTTTAGTCACACAGAAATAATAGAATGATTGTATAAAAAGAAAAGTAGATATCAAGTTATCAAGGTAATTCAGTATTATTGAGGTACCGGTAAATGGAAAATACTGATATTGTCTAAAATTGATGATTTAAATATTACCAAAACAAACAACTTTGACTATTTTAGTTTTATTTAGTTCCCATATTTTTCTAGAGAATTTTAACCTTAAACTTAGATGATTTAGTAAGCATCTTTCCAACATTTACTGAACAACATTCAGAATACTGGTACCATTGTTTTGGGGTTCTAATATTGATATTTTACAGTTTTTTTACTATTTGTTTGGGTTTTTTTTGTGCCAGGTAAAGTGTAAATCTATTGATGCAAGTTTTATTTTGAGATATAATATGTCATTAAGTAGGAAATAACTTTCAGCACAGCCAATTGTAAGTTGGTGTCTCAAGTAAGATGTGACAAGTGAGTTGCATTAAAAAAAAAAAATTAAATTAGCAGGATATTATTTGGAGCTAGGGTTTCATTTAAAATTATTCAAGGAAATTTTAAGTTAAAATTAATATATCTATATCTCATCGTTTTAATTGATAATTAAAATTAAATACTTTATTTTATACATTGTAATTTTCACATTCAATCCAGGTATAAAATAAATTGATACGTTAACAGTGGCAGATTCAGTTACTTGTACCTTGGTTATAGTAGTATTCTTCTATATATTAAGTGCCCACGATCAATTTATTGATCATTGTGAATTATAATACAATTTTAAAATCAAAACTAATTTTAGAAAGACATTCAGTAATTAAAGAATGCTATATAAAAACATTTTACTAAAATTTGATTGATTAATTCACACACTAAGAAGCACTAAAAGGTGTTAATAAATTGTTAAAATTCACTTAAGAACACAAAGTGAATAAATTTTTTTATCTTAAATAACTTTAATTTATTTTTGTGTCTTTTTTTTAATGGAAGATTTGATCATCAATTATATAATATGGGCAATTAATGAAATGAAATTCACAAATGAGTTAAAATGACAATGACTTGCAAATATAAAACCTGAACAAAATCATATGTGAGATGCATATTTTACAATTAATTACAGTTCTGCACCTCTGAATACAACATAAAAACCAGATATTCTCTAATGACTGGTTAAAAATTAAAAGCGCAACAATGAACAACCAAGAACACAATTTTAATAAACAAGACATTGATACAAGTTCTGACAAATATAACATAAAATAACACATTAAATTGAGCAGACCTGCTGGTTATGAAATTTTGTAGTAAAAGGGCATTTAATCAGTAGTTAGAACAATCAATAACAGTACTTAACCATGTTACTGAGAGCAACCACTTGTCATAGAAAATTGAATTAAATTATAACGGGTGGTGGGGGGTGGTGGTGAACAAATAACCAAGTATATACTGTTAAGTGCTTCACCTATAATCTGTTTAACTTACCTACATTTAACATTTCAGAATAATATATAAATGAAAGATTTATAAAAATTTGTCCCTTTAAAACGTTCAGTAGCCTTAATACCATATTTCTTCTGAAAGAAACTGTCCTACATAAATTATTATGGCAAATGAACATTTTTTTAATAGATCCTCTCAAACTGCACCTGTTCAAGGGCAACAGATATTCAATACATTCTTTTCATGCCAAGATTTTATAGTTTTAAAAAAACCTGACAAATATAATTTATTACTTTCTTTAGAAATCATGCTGATGAGCTATTATCAAGAAAGGAATTTTTTTTTTAAATTTCGTTAATACATTGCCATAATCACAGGTCTAAGATGAAGAAAAAATAATAGAATAACAGCAGTTCTTTGCCTAGAGCCACTTTTGCCTTTATTTACAAGTCACTTTATATACAGATATAATTTGGTTTTTATTTTTTGTTGTCTAAAATATTTTAGTGACATTTTATTTTTAATTTAACAGTAACCTCTACCTTTCTTTAAAAATATAAATATTTTTTCCCAAGGTAAAAATTGATATTGGAAAAGGAGCTTCACTGCTTTTATTTATTCATTATATATTCTTAACATCCTAAATCAGACCCAAAAAAATGTTATCAATATATATATGTATAATAATTATATATACCGGTATATCAAAATTATATTTCTAAATAAAACAAAGTCATCTTGATAGAAGAAAGGCCGAGTAAAGTAGATGCTAGTATTAAAATCTTTCACCCGTTTAACTTCATTTAGCATGTCCCATAAAGAAAACAAAAAAAGCTTTACATGAAGATCTTCAAATTTCAGTAATAGATCTGTATTTTAGAATCAAGGTCACCATATCTTTATGTATGAAAGTTTAACAAAATTTGTTAACTTATTTTTAAATAAAACTCATGGACACATTTCAAGTCTTTGAGTTTGAGTGATATATTATCTAATAATAAGGCTTACTGGCATGTACAGGATCATCCAAGTTTAACAATGTTGTCCTGGCTGGTTTAATATTCTCCACATTGTTAATATCAGAATTTGTTGGGTATCAAATTCCACATTTAATTGTAAGCTAAAATTCAAAGTGTTAAGACAGTCATGTTCTAAGCTTTTACATTTATTCTTTGTGACTATAATAAATTACCCATTAGGGGCTATACATATAGTACTTATATTAAAAGTCAAATTTAACACCCCCCCCCCAACGCGTTTTTAGACCCCCATGCCTACAATTAATTATTAAGCCTTTTGACCCCACTTCCCCAAATAATTATGACATCACAGTTAAAATTATGTCAATCAACCTTGGGGTGCCACAGTGCCCTCATGCCAGACCAAAAGAAAGGAGGTTCTCATCCCAGGTGCCAAATATAGGAACATAATAGTTATTGAAACTATGAAATCCCATGTACTTCACAACCTGGGGCGCCAAAATAGTCTTTTTACTCATCCACCCTTGGTGTCACTTTTTCTATTTATTGAGGGACGCCATATTCATGATTTATTCTGTGCGTTGCTTTTTCTCTGCGTGGCCTTGCCCTGGCTTAGTATCTCACTTAAGTACTGTATCACAGTACCAATAACTTTGCAGGTGATTACACTATGAGACATACATACATGTTTTATTTATTCTTACCAAACCCTTTACTTTATTATTTTGTAAATGTATTCGATTTTTCGAAGTGTACTTGTAAGGATTTTAGTGCAAACCTAAATTTGGCAAGGGTGCCGGAAAATTGAAAAATTCTAGGAACCACTGGCGTAGCCGAACAAAGTATGTCGCAGGCACACAGAATATATGTTTGACTAAGTATTACTACTAGTACCGGTACACAGTAGGTGTACTACTAGAGCAACACATAGGACATTCACTTTTGAAAACGCTGCAATATGACCATGATAAAACATTGTGTGGTATTGTTAACAGCAGATATAAATATGCTATTTATGGACTGTCTGAATAATTATTGCTGACTTTGTAAATAAATGTACATACATTCTGCTGAGGACACCCTCCCCATGTACACAAAATTGACTATCCCTCTTCTCTGCTTAGTGTATACATACTATATGGATGGCCCCTTATTAAGCTGTTAAGTAATTTTGTACAAAAAGAATAAAGACATAGCTTAAAAAGTGAATCCATCAAGTAAGAAATATTAAAGAAATATCAATCACACTTAATATGGCTTTTTAGACTTTGCCTTTTGCCTGATATCCAGTGGCATATTTTACTATATGCAGCCTGGAGCGAACTCCCTCTATTATAATTATAAATAAGGCTGCCCACTCATCCCCCCCCAAAAAAAAGTATGCCACTGCAAGTCCAGGTGTTTCAAACCTTAAAATTATGGTAAACCTATTACTGGGGCACTTGGGACAGCAGTATAACATCTCTATGATTCAAATGCCGGTACATTTTAGTGGTTCATACAAATAATTTTCCCCTCAAAACTAGTTTAATTAGAGGACTGTGATAAATAATCTTAACTGGCTAAACATTCATAACTGAAACAACCTTTCTTCATTTTAGTATGCCTTTAATAATACCTTGCTCACTATATGAATGCAATCTGAGCCAGGAAAAAAATTGACCAAGAGTTAAAATTAAGAAATTATCAGATAAAAATTTTATTTTAAATTTAAGGTCTGCAAGATTTGTTCCAATGGATGCAAAGATGATGATTTGTTAGTTGGCATGTTTGTTTATGATAAGAAATTCAGCTACAATTGTTAAAAGAAAAATAATTATGTTAATTACTTAATAAGAACCTACCTATTTTTTAGATTTCAATACAAAAAAGAAGAATATATAGATGTACTGCTACAGTAGGAAGTTAAAATCAGACAAGTTCCATCTGTAGTGAAACTAGGGCTTTTTAAAATCATTATCATTTTTAAAAATAGAGATATTCTGAAATTTAAATAAAAAATGGTTGAAAATATTTTTCTTTAAAAGTTAGGCCCCCAAAATTTTTAAATATTTGCTGTATGGCTTTTAAATTGTGTGTGTATGTTCTTGCAAATAGTGGGTAGTCCTAGCATTTGATAGGAAAACATTATTTTCCATTTGTAATACCCATGAATGCCTGAATTTTTTACTTTTTTAGATAAGCTATTTTAACATTGAATTATTATTGGTATAACATTACAGGTAATGTTTTACTTTCACCTCAAAATAGATTGTGTTAAAATAATGCTGACAGAATTCTATAATAATTTTCCTTCAAAAATTCATTCTTGGATCCTTTTAAAATACAGTTATGAAGACAATATTTGACAACACTTTTTGTTAGGGGATCTTAACTGCATATCAATGATCAAAATTGAAAATAAAAAGTATGGAATATCATCATTTGATTAGTCTTTATCCATGTTGAGTTAGATTTCATCAAAAACTTCTTGTTGAAAGATCAGATACTGTTCTAAGTGCAGGCTCATATGTGTCACAGGAGTGCTCAATTTACTAGTGTCGCAAAAACAATGAAGAAACATGAAGAACAAACTGTTGATATAAATAGCAAACATCACTCAACCAATAAAATCTGGGTCATCATCACTGTCATCATCATCATCACTACCTTGACGCTTCTTTTTCTTTCTTTTCTTTTTTACAGTCGGTGTTTTATGACCACCTGAGGCCAAAAGTTTATGAGTTCTATGTGATGAATGTTGGCTTCTCTTCTTTTTGTCACTATGATGATGGTGTTGGTTATGGTGATCATAAGGGAAATGAGATATTTTTGGAGATCTTGATGCTGAAGATGGATTTTCCTGTGGGTGGAGGAAAATTAAATTATACAATATATCTTTACATTTTTTATACACCATTATCATAATTTCTATCATTGCATTGATTATCGGCAGGTAATATATACTTCTGAGAGTCAGAGGAGTGCTCGTTTCAGTTTCTCCCCCATTAATTGTAATAATAATAATGGTATACGCCTTATTCCCTGTAACCTAAATAGTACCGTATCTCTATAATTGTGATTAATTATGACATAGTATTAATTACCAACAATTTTTTTTAATACAATAGGGTTTTCAAAGCAAAAATACAGCCGATTAATCAATAATTTCAAACTAATTTTATGGTTTAAAAAAGTGTATTTTTTCAAATAAAAAATCTTTAAAAAAAAAAAAATTGAAGTAATGTGTGTAAAAGATTTTCTAAAATTCAATAAATGACTTGCTCTCATCCAAAGGCTAATAACCTTGCTTACAGATATTCCTGAGGTAGAGTTGGCTTGAAGTCTATCTATTTCTGCATCTCCATCCATAGTTTTAGGTTCTCCATTTCTACCTCCACTATCCCCAGGATCACTTTGATGGGATGGAGACTTTGTAAAACCAGGAACAGATGTAGCATGTCCTGCATTGCGGGCTTCATCACCACTTTCCTCATCCTCTGCAGGATCTATGCTCATCATCAAGTCTCGAAACTGAAGTTAAAGTTAACAGACAAATCTTTGTATTTAGGAATAATTGAACTACAAGTTATTGCTTGATAGTTTCTGGCATGGTAGCTTTTAAAAAGAAAGGCTTAAGAAACTAATTCTTTTTAACTCATTCCAGAGGGTTGCGACTAAATGTGTCCTAGGATTCCGAATGAATCCTGGCGCATAGCGACACACCTCTCTCATTTTTAATGTAAAAATGGCAGTGAAATCTTGCATCCCTCCAGACTTCCGGTGATGACATAATTTCAATTTAAAAACTGGAAGGTTTTATCTTGTTTCACTTTCATCCTATGAGAGCTTTAGTACAGCCCGTCTATATCTAGCATGTGTTCGTCCGGGATACCAAAAAATAAATTTTTTAGTCTTTGTTCTTTATTGTTTTAAAGTTAATGTTGTATTGTGAAAATTAAACCTTATTAATTTCTGGATGCATTTATAATTAATTCATTAACATTAATTAATATTTAGCACCTTAATAAATATTTTAAAAATGTAAACAAAAATGCAAAATGCAGTTACTTCCCTTTCTCAGGCATATAAATTAAGTAAGGAAAGGAACTGTAGTTATAATGTTTTTAGGACATAACATGCTAACAAGACACATTAAATAAATAATATCATTATTTATATGAGGAGAAAGAGTTTAGTCTAGAGTTCAAAATGGCTTTAGCAAATAGCATGTTGGCAATTCTTCCAGGGCTTCCCCGGTTTTGGGTTACTAGGTGGCCTGAATTGACTCATAAGCCAAGTAAAGCACATTTAACAAAAATAAATTAAGTATCACTTCTTAATGCTGGGTTAAGCCTTTGCCAGTTAAGGGGACTATCAGCATTACTCTGCACCAATTAACTCATTCCTGACGGATGCGACCAAATGTGTCCTATAAGGGTTACGACTGATGCGTCCCGGCGCATAGCGACACTCTCATTTATATATTTATATATATAAAAAACATGAAATATCGAATCCCTCGAGACTTCCTGCCATGGTGTCATTTCAATTTAAAACCAGAAGTTTGTATATTGTTTCACTTTCAATCTGTGTGCTTTAGTATGGTGGGTCTATATCTACCATGCCATTGTTCATTATTTTTTTCAATTAATGTTGTTTTTATTAAACATTTTTGGATGCATTTGTCCTTAATTCATTAACATTAATTATTATTTAGCAACTTTAAAAAATATTTTACAAAAGTAAAATTGCAAAACAGAGTTACTTCCATTTCTCAGGCCAATAAATTAAGTACGGAAGTATCTTTGACGAAAGGATTGAGTTAAAGTGAAGCTTAACTATACAACATGTGCTTAAGTGAGCGTATAGTAATGTATAGATCTATGTAGATCTTTACACAAAAACTATTTATTACTTCAAGATAATCCTCGACAAGTTTCTGTCTCTTTTCTTCCTCAGTTTGTTTATCCTCTTCATACACAGACCGCAAAACTTTTAGTGTATGTTGGGGCTCAAAGTTTGGCAAAGTTTTACGATTTAATGGTTTTTCATAAACTTTTGCTGCCTCTGACGGGGAGTATCTGTGAATTTTGCTGAAAAAGAATATAGGATTTTCCACATGAGCAAAAAAATTTTGAAATGTCCTCCAAAAATAAAACTAAATATAAACTTTGTTTTTAAACTAAATGTGATTTATGCTAAAATGTTTCTTTACCCCTCAGTAAGGCCATACATCTCTTTGAGATGTTGTTTTAGCACCAATAAAAGTACACATCCTTGGGAAAGTCGCATTATATCTTCAAGAGGTTTAATCTGTTCCGGAAGTTTCTCTGTGAAAAATTAAATTTTTAATGATCAAGTATTTTACATTACTTCCGTGGAAAAAAAAGGAACAATATGTTAAATGTAGATAAAAATATAATAATCTGTGAGTCAGTGTTTCTCTATGGGAGCAATTTGAATATACAGCACACTAAGCATATAAATTGAATTTGAAACTGCTGTGCTATTGTAAATACTTAAGAAACACCGGAACTAAATAAATGTGTTGTATTTTATCAAGACAGCGGGAGGGATTGAATAAGAGTAAGCACATAAATTTTCTCTACAACGAGGCAGAGAGCTAGGGACGAAAGTGGATTGGAGGTAGAGAGTGGGGTGTTTAAGGTGGGAGCAGGGGTAAGAAGATGGTTGGGGAAGGTGGGGAAGGTAGGGAGGAAGTGGCAGGATGGGGAGATGGTAAGGAAAGGGAGAAAATGTACCATACAAGATTGATATTCTCGGGAAGAAAATGGGGCGGTGGGGGGAAGAGTAAAATGACATTAACTGATATCCTTACTGGTTATATAGGATCAAGATGATGCATTAAACCACACCTTTACATTCACAAAATGCAAGAATAAGCCATCCCCATTAATCAAGGACCCATTTCTACTAAATTAGTAAAAACTATTAATCTTAAACTTCGCTTTATAATATTGTATTAACTTACGTAATAATGATTCTGGATTATCATCATCATCATCTTCTTCCATAGCATTAGCATCACCATTTGGTAAATTCTCACCATCCATGCCATTTTGCTCTCCCTTTCTGTGTTTGTGTGGTAAATTCTAGATAAAACAAATAGTACATAAAATGAGCATCCAGTTAGATCGTATTTGCTTATAATTTGACTAAAAACTCTGCTAACTGACCAGTTTCCGCAACATTACGTTTTTTTACATTTTACGTTTTACATTTATCATAAATTTTACAATTCTATTTAAAAGTAGATTAAGTTTTTTAATTCATCCATATAATAAATACTCAAGAAAGTCAACTGCAAGTGCCCTTTTTAAAAAAAAAAAATCCACCTACAAAATAAATTTATCATCATGTCAGTAAAAAAAAAGTGTCTAAGCTTTTCAAAGATGTCTGTCTGGCTTTGGCGTAGCCATGTGGTTCCCAAATTAGTGAATCATCGCCCAGGGCCAGGGCAATACAGGGGGGTGGGTGTGTGTGTGTGTTTGCAGACGCCCAGTTGTCTTTTGATTGGAGTTTAATAGTAAATTAAAGAATCATCATCATCGCCTGTCGTCCCGTCTGACCTGGGGGTTCCAAGTGAGGGCTTGTCTCGTGATGCTGGTTGTGGGCTTTCTGAGGCTGTGGCCAATCCATCTCCATCTGCGCTGGCAGACTAACTCTTCCACTGGTTCACTGTGTGCGCCGCCAGAGATCCTCGTTGGTGATGACGTTGGGCCAGCGGATTCGTAGAATCTTTCAGAGACATGAGTTGATAAACATCTGTAGCTTTTTTGAACCAGCTGCTATTGTTCGCCATGTTTCTGCTCCATATAGCAAGACAGGTTTCACTGTGGTGTTGAATATCATGACCTTGGTCTGGAGGGTCAAGTTGCTGCAACTCCAGACTTTTATTTAGCTTGTTAAATGCAGCTCTTGCCTTGGCAATTCTCACTCTTATGTCAGCGTCTGTCCCTCCTTGTATGTGAATGATTCTGCCGAGGTATGTAAAGCTATCCACAAATTAAAGAATAGTGGTTTCAAAATCAAATGTACTAATTCTACCCTGGGCTGTACATTTTTCTTTAGATTGAGGGGCAGCATTTTCAGGTTTTGCCCAGGCACAGCCCTGCGAAGACGCAGCTTTCTCAAAGTGTCCTTGGAAAATTTTAATTTTGTTTCCCTTTTTAACTCTTTCCCAAACGGTCCCGACTAAATGGGTCCTTTGTGGGGTTCCAAAAGAAGGGTCCAGACAAGTAGCGACATACCGCTCTCATTTTTATTTTAAAATAGCAACATAATCTTGTGTCATTCGAGGCTTCCAGTGATGGCACAATTTCAATTTTAAAAAACCTGAAGTTTTTATCTTGTTTCACTTTCAATCTATGGGTGCTTTATAACGGTGAGTCTTTATCTAGCATGTGTTCATCTGAGGGGCCATTCTTTGGTCATTGCTAGTTATTTGTTCGCCATTAATTATATATATAGCAGCTGAATTTTTTTTTTTTCATAGACAAGTTAATCAATGGCAAAAGGTAGTTACTTTACTTAGTTCAGGAATATAAATTAAGTACGGAAGTAGTTGTTGTTGTTCGTCTGTCGAAGTCGACAAGGACCATCGAATCATCCGGTTAGGGGCGGGCAGGGGGGTTGGGATTACGGTGAGCTCTTAGGAATGAGTTAATCCAATGTGTCATCTCACTTGATTAATTAATGTTTGCAGTTACTAGATGCACTTAGTGAAATACATACATGTTTTTAATTAACCCTTTTTGTATTTGTATGAATTTGACTACCTTTAGAAAACCTTTATTTGGCAATTGCGCAAGGAATTAAAAAATTGTTGGAACCACTGGCATGGCTAAACAAATAAATAACTTCTAAGTCTAACATTCAAAATGAACAGGCAAAAGGTTGACTAACTATTACATTTACTACTACTAGAGCAATATCTAGCAAGCTTACTAGTGAAAAGCGCAAGGCGAAATTAAGATTCCTTCAAATCATTTTCACAGCAGTTGAAATAAATTTATTAACTGTCAGTTTTAGGATAATTATTGCACAATTTAATATTTATCACTACATGTACATACTTTCTGCCTAGACAGACAGCCCCCCCCCCCCTGAAAGCGTATGCAAACTTACACCCTAGTGCGTACATATAATATGGGTGGTACCGGTACCTTAATTAATTTGTTAACCCTATACAGTCCGATGCGCCCAAAAAATAAATTTATTAACTGTCAGGTTTAGGATAATTATTGCACAATTTAATATTTCACACTACATGTACATACTTTCTGCCTAGACAGACAGCCCCCCCCCCCTGAAAGCGTATGCAAACTTACACCCTAGTGCGTACATATAATATGGGTGGTACCGGTACCTTAATTAATTTGTTAACCCTATACAGTCCGATGCGCCCAAAATGCGCCGATTTTTTCATTAAGCCTACAGTCCGTTGCGGCCAAACCTTCCCATTTCGAGGTTGTTTCCTTTCGTTCTTAGCACAGTGGAAATCCATTGCACATTACCGGTACTATTATAGTTCTACCGGAAGAAAGCCTAGTTTTTGGCATTAGTTTGAACGTGGTGCGCTTAGGCGCTCATTTTCTACGATATTTTGAAAATTTGTGATTTTTTTCGCTAAAAAAAAAAAGGCTTTTCAAGCAATGGATAAAATTTTGTAAGAGCTTAGGTTGAAGCTTCATTATTTCATGATTCCAGCAGTGATAGTGAAGAATCGGATATAGACATTAATTTATATGACGCTACTAGTGATACTGATTCAAGTGGAGAAGATAATAGTAGTGACATCAATGAAAATAGACCTATAACCAATTCCACTACAACCACAAATGATCCCAATTCCACTACAACCACAAATGATCAGACAGATGAGGAATGGTCTACGAATTTTTCAAGCATCAAACTGTTCCCATTCACAGAGCAATCAGCCCTAAGCATAATTTGCCTGAGGATGCAGTTGCATATGATTTTTTTTCTTTGTTTATCCCGGATATTTTCTACCAACACGTAGTAGAGCAAACAAATTTATATGCAATCCAGTGTGCAACAAAGTGTGGCAAAAAAGACTCTTACTGGCACCAGTTTGCTCCAGTGAGATCAAGAAGTTTTTTTTATATAAATATAATGTTTGGGATCCATGACATGCCAGAAGTTGACTCATTCTGGTATCCAGACCAAAGACTAACAGTTCCAGCCGTATCTGACATTATTGGTAAAAACCGATATAAGAAAATAAGTCAATATTTGCATCTAAATGACAACAACAATGCTGTTGCTAAGGGACAGCCAGGCTACGATCATCTATTTAAAATTAGACCCCCTTCTGGACATTATAATAAAAACAGTAAGGAAAATTATTACCCAGGATAGGAAACGGGCATTGATGAGGCAATGATAAGCTTCAATGGGAGATTGTTTTTTCAAACAATACATAAAAGCCAATCCGACCCCATGGGGTATCAAAGTTTGGTGCATTGCTGACCCCCGCAATGAAATTTTATGTATAATTTTAAATTTTACACCAGCAAAGTAAACGACACAATGCAACAGGCCACCACATCATCTTTACTGTGAGAGGACCCTGGGGTTCCTAAGGCGCAATCTGAAGATCGGAAACTCAAGCGTGAAAGAAAAAGCCCATAAAGCCTTTGTCCGGCCTATTTTAGAGTACGCTTCTACAGTCTGGGACCCATTTACCCAGAAAAGCATCGACAGGTTGGAGGCGGTCCAGCGATGGGCAGCACGCTTTGTCATGAACCGCTACAGAAACACCTCAAGTGTTGGCAGCATGCTAGAAACACTGGGCTGGTCTACATTGGAAGAAGGACGACGACTATCCAGGCTCCCCATGTTGTACAAGATCAAAAATGGGCTGGTCCACTGCTCCGGAATCAAACAGAAACTCGTTCATCTTCCCCCTAGACTGCGATGAAGCCACGACAGACAGTTCCGGCTGGTAAAAACAAGAACAAAGTAAAGGAGCTCCTCATTCCTGCCGAAGACAATAGGGGACTGGAACAAGCTTCCAAAAGCAACAGTTGAGGCGGCTACACTCGACAAATTTGTGTCTATTGCCTCCTGTATTCCAACCCCCAGTTCATAACACCACTGCTGAGTCGCCCTTGCAACCAGTGAAGCATCCCATTGAAACCCATGCACAGTAACATCGCAAACTCCTCTGAAACATAGGAGCCAGAATGATCAATTCATTGATCGTGGGCCCTCAAAATAAAGAAGAAGAGAAGAAGTTTAGAAAAGGGTCACCATTTTTACTTTGACAATTACTTTTCAAGTGTCAAACTTGCAGAGGATTTGCTGACCGTGAACACTCATTTCTTGTGCAACAATACGCACCAACGGGAAGGGGTGGCCACTACGCGCAGAAAAGATGAAAGGTGGGGATGTTTGCAGAAAGGCAGGTTGCTGGCAACAACTTGGTGTGACAAGTGACCAATTTGTGCACAAACACAGAGTGGTGTCGAAACTGTCAGTAGGATATCAAAGCAAGGGCCCAGAGATGTTATTCCTCAGTCCATCCTCACCTACAAAAGGCATATGGATGGTGTGGATTTGGCTGACCAGTACAGATCCTACTACCCTGTAGGGAGGACACCCAAAAAATGGTGGAGGTATGGTCTTTAGTTCCTAATACAAGTAGGAACCAATCATCTCCAGTTCCGCCTAGACTTACTGTCAGGATTGCTAGGCTCTTTAGCTCATCAGCAGCTAAGGAGAAGCACTGACATAGTTTCTGTTGCAGCAACAGCATAGCCATTGTCCTCTAAGCATGAGCTAATGATACTTTCTGGAAGGAAAAAGACGTGCCACTTCTGCAGCAAGACCGGCAAAAAAAAAAAGCAACAGTGGGAGGGTCCCCAAAACTGTTTTTGCAATTTTTGACAAATTCACCTGTGCAAGGATGCCTGCTTTGCAGAGTTTCACCAGAGACTAGAAAATAGATTATAATTTGATTGACAGAGGACAACTTGCAAATTTTTTTTTAAAATTTAATTTTTTTTCTTCTCTTCTGGATTTTTTAATAAAACTATTTTGATCTTACCTTTACAATGTCACCAACAATAAAGTATTTTCATTTATTTTTTATTTAGGTATTTTTAATTTTATTTTATTGCTTTTAGTTTATTTTCTGTAAATTAATTAGATAAAGAACCTTAATTTAAAATAGAGTTATGTCCCTTTGCTTGGTCGCAGGGTGTAGAAAAGGCTTGGACTGTAAAGGGTTAAGCAAATATAAATTTATAACTACCAGTACATATAATTTTAGATATTAAAAATTTGTATATTTTTCAAAACAAATTTTTCCCCTAATACCTCTCTAAATGATTGCAGCAGGTTGGAACCTGTAACTGATACGATGATATCTGTCTGGTGAATGATAAATAAAGGTTCATCCTGGGATTGGTATGCAAAATATGCCAGGTTGTCTGCAATGAACACTTGCTCTTCTAAGGATATCCTCTGCAAGAAAGAAAAAAAAAATCAATCAAAATGAGCTAAGGTATTGATCATTTATGTCCAGGTTAAATGAAGTTAATTTTCTCAATCCTCAAAGTAATCATTATTGTTTCAGAGTGTGGCAAACATTTTCAGTATAGTTATTTTAAAACTTGGCAAGAAATGGATTATGCACTACAAAGTATAAAACAATGTTGCCATATTTGCTTAAAACTGCTATAAATATCAAAACCATTTGTATTCACAAAAACTTTAAACTCTGCAGGGACATTGTTTTGTTATGTACAGAATGTTAAGCCTTTTTAGCAAGCACTAAACATTTTTGCAAATGAACCTACTGCAGAATCATCAAAAAGATTTATAATTGATGTAAGCAAGCCTCTTCTGTGAGATCTATTAGATCGCAACAGAGAGTACAGGAATGCATTGAGAGCTTGTGGTTGATTTTCTTCATTGAACCGACGACCTCTCACAGGCTCAATGGGATTGTTTGAGTGAAACACTTTTTGGAGTCGATATGATGCCTTCATACCTTGAAGAGCCTTCATCTATTATTAAAAAACAAGAACATAAAGGATTTGTTTTTTTTCCTTTAAGTATTGAATCCATCAAAATTGTCATTCTGTTCTTCAGATTTTAAAAAAATAAAAAAATATTTTAAAAAAGCCAACAAGTAAAATATTAAGCCTTTACTTAATTAAAAGTTATCCTATTTTCACAGCTGATTTTTTTAAATACTTCAAAAAGTTATTTTAAAATTTGTTACACATTTGTCTTCAACCTCAAAATATTATAAATGAGAATTATTTCATGGACATTAAACATTATGATTATTAAATTAAAGTTAACTGTTGACTTCTTTAACTCTGAAGGACGGCTATAATTTCTATAAATAACTAACTCAACAAGGAATTAACTGAATTAATGAGGATTAATAACAAATGCATAAGCTGAATTTAAGCTTCATAAACACTGTTTTACAGTAGTTAAGATATACATTTTTAAAAATGTCTTATTCAAGCTATATGTTCTTACATGTGTAAATCCAGGATATTTCTTTTCAATCTCCTGCAATTGTTGGTCCGCTTTAACTCTTATTGGTTGCTCAATATCTGACCCCATGCTGATTAAGTAAGGGATGCACTAAAAAACAGAGCACAAAATTTAAAATAGCAACATATATGTTAATAAACAAACAGAATGATTTCATGACAAATTTTTATTTAAATGCAAATAATATAAAATTCTTTATTTAGCAACCATGTACTGATAAGACTACAGCTATTTTTAAAACCATAATATTTTATTATCATAGAAAGCTTGCTGTTTCCGTCTGAAATTGATTTTTTTCTACCCATTCCTGCCTCACGAGGCTATTCCAAACACCTTTTGGCTCATAGCTAGGGGTAACTGGATGAATTTGTACCTGCTACCCCAACCGAGTGGTTCCCATTGTGACAAAAGGCCCACCTTTCAAGAACTATATGTATTAACAGTATCTAACCTGGACGGGATGAACAAGACCTTGCTTGAGGACAAGAGTTACTACATTAAGAGCTGTAAGTCGGACTTGAGAGTTTTCATGAAAGAAGGCTTCCATCAGTTCCTTTAGGTACACTTGCATCACAGTGCTTGCCATTCTTTAATGGAAAATAAGTTGAATGTCAGTTAATTCAAATTTATCAATCACTGCAATTTTTAGATCTAACATTTTGCTTAGCTAAGTTGTTAGTTTGGGACTGAGAAATTTGCAAGGGAAAAAAATGTTATCATTTTATAGCAGTTATAATATAACAGAAAATATATACTTAATTTTTAAAAATTACTTTTTCGTTAACCTAGGCAATTTCTTGAGTCTTATGCTATTTTAACTCTTCTGCTTACCCTGACTGTACATCACCCATCTCTTTTAAATCTTCCTTTTTGGAATGTTTTTTCCCTGAAATATTATTAAAAAAAAAAATGCTCAATGAAACAAGGCAGTATGACAAATTTAGAGTAACTTTAAGTACCAGATTACAAAGAAATTTTAAAAACAATATTAAGTATAGCAATGTAATTTTTAAAACATACATTCTGCATCTGATTTTGACATTTGCAGTTCCTCTTCTGTCAGATAAACTTGTAAGTTCCTCAAGACCTGAAATTAATTTAAGCAATTTTATTTCATTTTGTAAAGAATTTATTTGTAAAATTAGAGAACAAATACAATTTCTAATATTAATGAACATCTTTTGAAGTAGCACTCAAAGCAAATAAGGTTAACTTTAGAGATTTTATATACCTGACATCTTAGCTTAACAGATGCTTTATCGTCTGTCAAAAGGCGGGTGTATAAATCTTTCAATATGGGCCCAAGCATGAAAGTGTAGTGTCGACATGCGAAGAAACCTGTAACCAAATTTTAATCAATATTTTAAAAACAAAACATTGAAAGAAAAATTCATTCAAAAGTATATTATTTCTTCTATGTATAAAGGCTAAAATTATTTTTACAATAGCATAATTAAGTGTTTAACAAGCCACAATAGGAAAATATAGCAGTGAAAGGTTTCAGCAAAACAGTTTGATATTCATTTTCATAGTGATCTGGCAGCTTTAACTCACCAATGGCAGTTAATGCTTTAAGTTGAACATCCTCATCGTCATGACTGACAAAATATGTGAATACATCAAAGACTGTTTCTCTAACACAGACCTATAAACAAGAGAATGGACTTAGTTATTATCCCCCATATTGTTTTTAAAAGTCTGCTTTATCTAATTAAATTCTGGATAACAGCAATTTTTTGGGGGCAAAAAAAAAACTTTTCAAAATTACTTTTCTTCCTTAAGTATTTTGCCCTCAGGAAATTACTATTTACTGATAACAACAATGATTACATACAATAAAATGCAACATGCCCAGAAAAAGTATGCATCAATGAAAGCTTTCAATGTTTCTCAAACAATTTTGATGTCATAAATGTTAAAAAGAAATATTAATGATTTTTTACTTAAGGGATCCCAGAGAATTATATATACGCCCTCAGAGGGAGGGGTGTGTGGTGTATCTGTTTGAGTTGGACAATGAGTTTTGCAAAGATGAGTATGGTAGGGTCTTAAAAAAGCAAATTAAATAAACATTGCTGTTAAAACTAAAATAAATTTAAAAAATAAATAAAATAACAGAACATTTTTATATCAGAAATCATTAATAAAATTGTGAGTGAAAATAACACATCATTTTCATATCCGATTTCATTTAAACATTTTTTGTAACCATCAGTTTTATATTTTTATCATAAATTAATACAACAGTTTAAAAAAATAATAATAACCCCCCCCCCCCTCTCCAGGTGTATGCATTTTAATTATTAGATACATTTTCTATACCAAAGTTAAAAAATTTTCCTGGGATGAAATTAAGAAGAAGTTAGTTCATAAATGAATTTAAACAAATAATTTTGATGCAATACTGAATTCAATTTGAAGTTTATAAAAGAAACAAGTTTTCAGTTCTAACTATAAAAAATACGCCTTTAAAGCTCCTTTGTACATATCCATAGAGTTGGGGAATTTCATTCACCTTAGCAACAAATATTAGTTATAACTCAATTGCAATAATAAAAAAAATCTCTTACTTTTGTTTCACCCATGTCTTTGGAATCAAAATCAAAATGCTTGCATAGGAGCCCAACTGTAAAAAGAGCCCTGAGAAGAGTTGGACGTCTTGTCTTCAGTGTAGGACAATCTTTATTTACTTTGTTATCATACATCAGTTTTGCAAGCACGCCTAATAAAAATATTTTTACAAAAATGTTAAATACCATATAAAAATATATTTTAAGTATAAGTCATTAACTTATTTTAATCATACATTTTAAAAGAAAAAATTTCAAGAGAAAAAACTAGGTAACAAATTAATCTTAAATATCAAAGGTGTACCTTGTAAAATAGATGAAAAACCATAAACATTTCAATTGAATATGACTTTCAAAAAATAAACAGCTTATAATCTGATCAAGGAGAATATTAACAAAACAATGAACTACGAGTGTCAAAAAAGTATGCATCCAGGTTTACTTATTATTTATATTGAAGAATTAACACCTGCAAAGACAAAGTGACCTCACATTTTATTCTAAGTGCCAGTCAACTATATTATGAAATGACTTCTTTTCACCGAGAAAATGCTATTTTTTTTTTTGGACATATATTTTACATCAATCAGCTGACTTTGATATACTGTTGAAGACTACCACTTTTAAGCACCATATGTTAATAAGGTAGGAATAGTATATAGTATTCTATGCATTAAATTTTTTAACCCAACCCTTCCCTGGAAATGTTTAGTTAGCTGAAAAATAAGTTTACCCCACCCCCCCCCCCCCTCCTGATTATTTTGGATAATGGATGCTCTACGGTAGTTAATAATTTTACCACAATAATAAAATTTACCATAAAACTTTTTGAAACAGTCTCTGACTAACTCATAGTTGTGGCTCACATCATTAACAACAGCTCCTAAACAACTCACACAACTTTGAACTACCTGTAAAGGAACATTAAAATGTTAACAGAATTATTTATTTGAATAAAAGACTCCATCCAAAAAGTGCATGGCAAGTAAGTAACACTTACCAAAATCCACATGTTAAATTCGCCCAGCTAACAAAAATAAATAACTTTGAAATGATAGTTGTTCTTCATATTTTCAAGTTACTTCCATAAATGAATACAAGAAATCTTGTAGAGATGAATTTTATTTTAATAAACATATCTAACTATAACCACAATGTGCAATAGAAATGTGAACCAACAATTTTAAAATTATGTGTGGTGACTTTTGTCAGAGGATATAAGATACTTCTACACATTATTTCACAGTAAATTGGGAGTGTATTAAAGTTTTACTGTCACTCGTGTTATTTAGGCAAGATATTAAGAACATTTGTTTGGTTGATATGAGCTTACCATCATCCCATGTTTCAAAATTAATTTGACCAAATCCTCCTCTACTTGAGCCAAAAAAGATTCACTTGGATGATCCATTAATGGTATGACAAGCTCAAGGATCCGTGCCACATAGTGAAGGACCATGACATCTCCCTGAGTCTGAGGAGATAAAGCACAATTCTTGACTTCTAAATTATCTCTTACAAAGTTAGCTTGTGTCCCTAACAAAGATTAAATGAATTAAGTTGCTAAAATTTGACTTTTTATAAGCCTATAGAATTACTGTGTAAGTAACCGTATAAGAGATATTTTCCTTTCTTCTGCATGGACCAGATGTACAATACACATTATTTTTTACTATTGATGTTTCATATTAACTTTATTGACATGACATTTCAACTGTAACTCAAAAGCTGTCTATGTGAGGCAGATCAAGAAACTTACAATTCATTTTTAAATACAAAGCATAAAAGTAAAGCAATGTTTTTCAACCATGGCTTTACTTCATTAAATTTAAAGAATTGTTAAATTATAAACGTGCCAAATAAATAAAAATACATTTAAACATACATTGCACTTAATGTCAAGGTAAGGCTGCAGTGTAGTTGCATGTTCCACCATAAGATCTGGCTTGATTTTACTGAACAGGTGGAGAGTTGACAAACAGCCAACAAGTCGACTACTGACCGTTCGACCCTCAGATTTTTCTAGGTAAAAATAGGATCCATAAAAATTAAGCAGCTAATATTTATATTGCAATCAATGTAATAAATTGTAATAAGAAATAATGATTGTGGTAGGTGAAAGCGTGTAAAGGAAAAAAAAAAGATTGATGAAGATTGTTGTTTCAGTCCATTTATATATTGTAAAGAAAAAGAATTGAATGAGGTGCATGATTTAATTTTTTGTTGTTATTTTTTCCATGTCACACATTTCTGACTTTTTGCTTAATGAAGATTGCTTAAAAGTTGAGAAATAATATGAATAGGATCACCATTTTATAAAACTACCCAATGCTTAGAATAATAGCTTTATAACGTTTAAATATTACTCCTTCATCAGTGTTAAGTCAGGGGGCTCCCAGGGCTCGATGCCAGGCCCCTGTTTGTTTCTTCAGACCTGTTTACCCTCAAACCCCTAAAATTATACAATATTGTCTCAAAATGTACAATATCATCTCAAAATCGTACAATACAGTATCTTAATAGTAAATAAACATGCAGTATACATCATGTATACAATAACTACTACCATCGCGCATTGAGTTAAGCTGAATTCAAAAAGGTAACATCTAAAAGCAAATGACTGAGATTATATTGCTATCAGCGGTCACTTTGTTTTGCTGAAGTGCATCTGCTATAGATATCAATTAAAATTTAGGTGAACGTACAGATCACATTATCAAAGTCTGCTTTTGTTACAAATAGTTACAGGTGAAATTTAACATGGATCAAACTCAAAGTCAGTTAAGCATAAAATAATATTTATCAAAAATAAGAATTAATGAACAAATTTACACGAATCAATTTCTTATTTACCTTTGTAGAATAACAAAATGGAAAAGTTCTATAGTGGGCTAAATTTTAATCTATCATGAATAGATTCCACAATTTTGTTTACTTTTATGCGTGCGAGTCAGTGATAATATAAATATGTAATTGTAAAATGCTTGATTTTGACTGGGGAAAAAAAGCATTTAGAAAAGTCAAAGATATTGTAAATTAACTCACCAACACTTTTCTCCTCTATTCTCAAGACATTTTCAACAAGGCAATCAACAATCTGCTTACATGCTGTTATAGCTGCTTTATTATAATTGCCATCATCATCTTTCTTCAGCAGCTGGAATTCAGAAAAATTGAAAATCTTAGCTTTCTGAGACCCGCTGGCTCACACTCTCTCCATCCCTACCCAACGTGAGATTGCACAATTAGGCAGGGCCTAACATTACTAAAAATGGAAATTAACCTGGTCAAGGAGTACCCATGCTGAAACTACTAATGCAGTATATAATGGAGCGTATGACGCTACCCGCCCTCTTTTACCTGTAATTTGGCAGCAGAGCCCGGCTAACAATATTATTGTGATGAAGTTTGTTTATTCATAATTGGCTAGCCAGCATAGTATAGACCAGTAGATACGAGTACAGTAGAGTCGAGTCTAGTATAGACCAGTTCAGTTGAGTGGAGTCAGTCAGTTAGTGGCTATGCTAACACTGACATTCTCTATAAAGAATTCAAGTGTAGATTAGGCTTACGGGAGATAACACTAGACTCCCGCCAGCAGCACAGGCCATGTGTGCCCACCGTTAGAGTGTTAGAGTCTACACCTATTACGTCCCAGACTGTGCACTAGCCAGCGAGAGAGGGGGCAAACAAACAGACTACCGTCCTGCTGTGTGTGTGTGATTTGGGCCTTACCTGAGGACAAGATAACCAGCCAGTCGTAACTTAGTACATGACAATTAGTATTAGACGGTATACCTGGTTGTTCTTTATATGTTTATATTATATGTAATAACATGTGTGTAGTTAACTCTTCTTGTAATTAAATATTTATTATCCGTTGGCTAAACCACCTGTGTTTTTATAGTCATTAGTAATAGTTTTAATAGAAGTGAGCGAGTGAGAGAGTGCCATTGGATGTGAGTGTGGTGATATTAACTTAGAATATTTAATAATAGATTAAATCATACCCCTAGTCATAGTAGTTGTACAATTTATGTAACACTGGAAGCCTTAATTAAAGTAAAATTAGCACACTTTGTTACTGCAAGAGAAGTCAAAAGTTGGCCTCTCTTTGCCTGTAGATTCTGTTTGTCGCTTATGCTTGGGCGGTATGTTTGCGATAGTCTTGCAGGTATGGAACAAGGACAAGGTTCAAGTGTCATGTGCAGTCAAGATAAATGATAATGTTAGAGTAGGAATATGATATTTTGAGAATTAGGCGAAAGTAAAGTGAGTAACAATAATATCACTGCTTGAACGGATTTGCAAAAGCTGTAAATCTATTTTGCATCACAAGTCATGTTGAAATAGCATGTTCAACAGAACCGACAATGCATAAGAAATTGCCACCTGCTCCTCAACAAAAAAAGGATTCAACTAATGCATGTAGCTGTCAGGAAACAGAGAGAGCTTATGGCAATTTTTGCTCGCACTGACAATGTTTCTATTTTAAGTGCTGAATGGTTAGATTTAGATGATGATGATGTTGACTTGTCTGGTATATCAGTTCCGCAAGATGAAGATGATAAATCAGCTACTATGCCCATTGTTACGATAGAGCAACATCTGGCTACTCCCTGGGAAGATTATAGCAGCTAGAAACTATGCTACAATTGTCATCGATACTGACAATAATCATATTTATACTTCCACTCACAGTGATATTTAGTCTTTAAAAACCTTTTCATTGATTCTGCATTATAAAATTTAAGTGTAAAAACATTTTAACTTGTTGATTAAAAAGCTAAAGATGCAATAAAATGTTTGTCCTACAATTTTGTGTTATTGCAATAAATGAGCACAAAGCAAAATGTATTTATGCATTTATTTATATTATAATTCATTGGGGGGTGGTTGGGGGTTTAGGGTTAAATAAAATGTTGACAAACTTACTCTGTGAAAGTTTGACAGTTATTGATTTTCAAGAATTGCTTAAAAATTGTTGACGTAATTAAAGGACACCCCCTATCTGATTTTTATTTTATATGCAATTTTTAAAAACTTAAATTTACTTTTATTATTTAATTTTAGCTTAGACTTATTTTCTGTACATTTAACCTACGCTTTTCAATCAATACCATTTAAAGCTTGATATCTACAGTAAAATTGTGATATTTTGGGGAAATTTCAGGAGGGTATGCAATATGACATGTGAAAAATTGTTTTCTTGAATTATATATCAAATATAGACGTCAAAGAATGCCTATATATCAATTATAGCTATCAAAGAAATGCTTAAATATCAAATATAGCTGTCATGAAATGCCTATATATATAAAATATAGTTGTCGAACAAATACCTATATATATCTCTGTTTTGTCTGTGCCATGAATATAAAATTCTGGAAAAGAATACATTAATACTAACAAATATTAATATTTGCACTTTGTCCCTATGAATATAAAATAGTTTAAAATTTATTTGTGTATGTCACAAATGACAAAAGAAGTCATTTGATGATGACGAGTGTAAGACATGTTGTCTTAAACTGTGTCCACATCAACAACATTTACAAGAGAGGATCAACAAGTTGAAGAACAAACTAAATGTAGTGACCTGACCATTTCACACTAGCAGGAGTTTGAAGCTGCTGCCATGGGTTCTCAGAGCTGTGATTCATTATTATCGGCATAACTCAGATTTAACACTGATATATTAACACATAACAATTTTGGCTGTGATATGGCTATCAATGATTTTGATTGATATATTAAGTCAAAATCTCAACTGTCAGATGTTTTAAAATATAGTTTACTCACAAACCCATATTGACCAATAGTTTGTTACAACTTCAGTGAGGACCTGGCGAAAAACATTATTTTTGGTATGCCTTGCTTGATACATTTTCTGTGTGGTTTGCTTATTCCAGTTATCTTAAAGGTCCAGTGTGTATATTTTGTAATGTTTTCCCGCAACCAATTCTTCGCAGGTACCAAGATGCATTTATAGCAACATCTTTCTCCAAGTATAATGTGCTCGTAATTTTGTGAAAGGTGAATGGCACAAATGTGCTCAGCAGGATGCGACAGCATTCTTAACCATCATTTGGATTCCAGACTGACGTATCCTAAGTCAGATAAACAAGTTTATTTCATTCAATGAGGTATGGACATGATAAAATTACTTCCATAATGGCAGGAAAGGAAGACGATTTTCAGAATAAAATACGCACAATTTTACCAAAAGCAGCTTTCTTCTTCTTCTATATATTAAGAGCCCACGATCAATTTATTGATCATTTTGGCTCCTATGCATGTAGAGGGGATTTGCAATGTTTTTGTGCCTGGTGTTGATGAGGATATTTCACCGATTGCAAGTGCTACTTTGTGAGGGAATCATGCACTGGGGGTTGGAAGGTTTGAGGCAATAGACGCAAATGTGCCTAGTGTTGTCGCCTCAACTGTTCCTATTGAAAGCTTGTTCCAGTCCCTAATTGTCTATGGCAGGAATGAGCAGTTCCTATACTGGCTTCTTGCTAGTATGAGCCAGAATTGCCTGTCATGGCCTCGTCGTTGCCTATGGGGGAGAGGGACGAGTTTCTGTTTAATACTGGAACAGTGGCCTAGCCCAATATTTATCTTGTACATTATGGAGAGCCTGGATAGTCGTCGTCGTTCCTCCAGTGGTGACTAGCCTAGTGTTTCCAGGATGCCAACACTAGAGGTATTCCTGTAGCGGTTCAGGACTAAGCATGCTGCCCCTCGCTGGACCGCCTCCAAACCTGTCAATGCTCTTCTGAGTAAATGGGTCCCAGACTGAAGATGCATAATATAAAACTGGACGGACAAAGGGTTATAGGCTCTTTCTTTCACACAGGAGTTGCCAATCTTTAGATTACGCCTTTAGAACCCCAGGGTCTTGTTTGCCTGGTTACATACATTGTTAATATGCTCGTCCCAGCAGACCTCTCTTTGAATTGTAACAGCCAGGTACTTTACAGCGGAAACTAGCTCAAGTATATGGCCATGCAGTTCGTATTGGTAGTGTAGAGGAGTACAACTTCTAGAGACTGATAGTGTCTGGCACTTGGCAGGGTGAAATTCCATGTTCCAGCTCAACTCTCTCTCAGCTAACTGATCCTGTTGTAGCTAGTCCTGGGGAGATCTGTTGGGGATCGTCTTGTACACAGTGGTGTCACCTGCGAACAGTCTTGCTTGGGATGTCAGTTTCTCGGATAGGTCATTAATGTATGCTAGGAACAAACAGGTTTTTTTTCTCTTTGCTCTGAGCATCGGCCCAAACTAGTGGTTAATGATTTGAATTCAGCAGTTTAAGTGTGTAATGTTATTGGTGCAATCAAAGATTTCATTATTTTTTTTCACCAAAGCATAAACCGAGGGGCATTAATACCTAAAGTTCCATTGGTCTGTGAAACTTGATGGTCCGCAAAATATAAAAGCATTCACATTTTCCGTGAGAATTTGAGGTGATGCAATCAACGGCATAATCTGGCAATACATGACATGCATAAAACGCGACAAGATGCTCACCAGCTATTGTGTACATGTTCTTCGCCTACATTTCTTGGATGTCTCGTGATTATCTTTACAAACTCAGCAATATTGGTACCAGTAATTCAATTATTACAAGCCATACAGCTGGATTTGGTAAGGGTACATAAACATATTTGTAAAGTAACAGATATTTTCCGTGAACATCCTCAGAATGTTGAAACTCAGTTTACGAATAATATTTATCTGTGGACTTGGCTCTCGAAGCATTAGTTAACAATGAGATGAAGAGCCTTCATATCTGTGTTGGACAAGTATATTAAAGTAATCCTAGAAACTCAAATGACAAGAGCGAGGATCCCAACTCTGAAGAAGTCTAATTTAGACAAACAAGATTTGTTCCGTACTTCGATACTATCATCTCTGGACTCAAACAGTCCCCCATTTCAGCTATTCAGACTTCACCCTGCTATAATGACAGTCTTAATTATGTGGAATTTAAGAAGAGTTGTAATATCATTACTAGTTTGTACTCATTAGACAACTTTGAGCTGGAGGCAATGAACTGGTTTCATTTTTGGAGCATGCAGCAACTCACAAGTTATTAAAAATGACTTGCAGACCTGCAATTACTGTTTTTCTGAAAACTCCGGAACAACTTTATTCAACTTGGATATGACGGGGGGGGGGGGTGGGGTTTAGACTTTACTTTCAACCTCAGTACCTGGAAAAGCTTTTTCAGCAAATCTCTTTTACAAATTTATCCATTTAATTAAGAAAAGCTTTGAAAAAAAAAAATAAAAATGACTTGCAGACCTGCAATTACTGTTTTTCTGAAAACTCCGGAACAACTTTATTCAACTTGGATATGACGGGGGGGGGGGTTGTGTTTAGACTTTACTTTCAACCTCAGTCACTGGAAAAGCTTTTTCAGCAAATCTCTTTTACAAATTTATCCATTTAATTAAGAAAAGCTTTGACAAAAAAAATCACAACACAACTGAATTATTTTTTAGCCTGGTATTACTAGTAAAAGGATGAATCACGATCAGATTGATGATTGAATAATAATTTGGAGATCGCAGTCCACTTCCATAAAAACAAGGCAGTGCCTATAGGTTTGGCGACCGGACATATAGTGCAGGAGATATTCATCCGGCGGGCATGCCACGCTTTATTTAAAATTGTCACATTTTAACCATTTGTTCAATATGTATTTGTAGAATTAAACATATTTCTTTTTCATATAAATTTACAGACTATGTTGAATTTGTCACTTTCGGATTTTTATGACAGGTGAAAAATTATAATTTTCGGAAAATCGGAATTTTAAGGTTTTTTTTTGGCAGGTCTTCTTGCAGAGTTCAAAAGCCGGCGCTTGGTCATGGGGATCGAGATAACCGAGGTTAAGTGGCAAATTTGGCCACCTTTTGTGCTCGAGATATGAGGGTTCGGCGACATAAAAGAATCGACACAACCGAGGAGAAAATTCTAAGATAAAGAGAGAATTTTGCTATTCCACTTCAAAAATGTCGACATAACAAGGTTGGCTAGTTAACCCAGGTGGAGATAAGGGGGTTTGACTGTATATGTTTATATTATGAAGAAGAATGACTGAAGTTTGATGACATCCCCCCTCCCCTGAAAATTCCAGCGGGTGCCCATGGTATGCGCATGGTTTATTTTTTAAGTAATGACTCAGCTTGCAAGGAAACTAGTATCGTGAGAAATTTTTTATAATATAAAAGGACTTGATAAGTTCATTCAAGTATCCACAGAGTTCTTTTTGACAAGAGATTTCAATGGTTAGTCAGCCTCTATGATTTAGCACTTTTCTACCAACAGCCATATTTTTCAATGCCGATCCTAATTAAGGCCAAAAATTTCAGCTACAAATATAAAAATGAAAAAAAAATGAGCCTGATAACATAAAATAAGATGCATCATTTTGATTAATTCATATCAAATAATGGAGAAGGTTTTTGTCCATAACATGATTTATTAGGGCCAAAGGAGTAAAGACGAACTTACATTTTCTAATAATTGCTCAAAGAACTCATAGCTTGTGTCCTTGGCGGCAGCAACCTGTAAAATTTGATTTACATAAACTGAAAAGTAGTAATTTTTTTAAAATAGTCTATTACTTATTCAACTTTAAAAAACAGAATAAAACAAAATTATAAATATATATTACAGAACTCTATTATTTGATTGGATTGAGCCATTTCCTTTTTTTTTTTTTAAATGTTTAATTTCTATGCTCTATAACCATGTTTCCATAAGGCATGGTTTGTGATATAATTTGCTTCCATGATTAGGGTTTTCTTTCGTAGCAATTATGCTGATCACCTAACAGCATATTCATTCCACAGATGAGAGAATAATCTAGCATTGGTATACGCCATTTTTACAATTGGGAATCTAATTGAGCCTTGTTAGACGAAATTATATGTATCATAATTATTTTTATAAGAAAATGAGGTATTCTCAATCTTTTTGTTACTGTCTTTCTAAAACAATTTGTTTTTGTGCCATAGTGCATCAAGAATGAATATTAAAAAAGAAGCTATACATGTAAAGAAAGTGGTATAGAGAGGCTTCCCACATAATTAAGGTCCAACAACTATTCTGTTTAGAAACTCACCATTCCATCAAGTGGGATTGAATGGTGCTCTGGCATGTTTTTTACGGATATCTGAACTTCCCAAGGCATTCCAATGGGTTAGAACAAACATGTCCTTTCCCATTGCAGAGAAAAATTGTCACACTATGAGTGATTTTAAGGTAAACTAAAAACCACTAAAATCTAGTAACTTTATAATGACACAACCTGACTTTCAATGGGTTGTTGAGGCAAAGGAATAACAATGTTAACTATTTTACACACCACATCTGTTATGTTCACGACTTTTTGAACAAGCTTCTCTGTATCTTTGTCCCGGGATCCTAATGGCGTAAACCACATAGTTTGAAAGACTTCATTAACTAGTTTCTGCAAGAAGACAACAAATTAACTTGTGAGTGAGATTTATAAAAGATAACTACACACAATAAATACATTAAAATTTTTTTTTGCATTATTATGCTTTGAAAGATATGCTAATTTAAATCTTTCACAATTTTCATATCTATTTAAAATATTTATTACTTTATCGAAAGCAAACTGTTAAACAAAAATAAGGGGCTATTTTTTAAAAGGTTTTCATCAATTAAGAATTTGATATTAAAACATTTGCTTTCTTTCCTATCATTAATAATTCATAAATGCATCTTAATATTTCCTTTTTGCAAAGGCAATAGCATTTTATGCCCCAAACATTTCAACTAAATTATCCCCATATCAGAGGTTGGCTAACTCAAGTCCAGGTTTTCCCAAGGCATCCTATGTCAAATTCTAATAATTGCACTGAAAAAATGGCATATATTTGTATCTTCACTCATCACTTTTTAGTAAAAGTAATCCATTTTTAAAACTAAAAAAACGAGATGAAACGCTTTAATAACGTCATTTGACTTATCTGAGATATGATGCACGCTCGCTCACCAAATGCTAGTGGTTCAAGTAGATTGTGTTGCATGGCATTAGTATACATTGTATGTAATTACGCAATAAATGATAAATTACTTATCCATGCATATATTAATCAATAATGAAACGGAATTACATCTAATAGGATGATATATTTTTTAAAGACCAGCTTGTCAAGGTCATGGAATCAGAGGTATTGTAATTTTGTACAATTGGGTTAAAAAGAATGAGTGTGAACTCTTATCATGAAGTATGAGTGCATGGATTTTTTGGGTGATAAAGGGAGATAACGATTTTGAGCATCAGAGTGAACCAGGGATCAACAAAGAGTGGGTGCTAATTTGAATGTGAGAGGTCATGTTGGATTTTCTCAAATGGATTTACTGAATAGATATCTGATACATTATTGAAAGTGTGTGCACATCTATTCTCTGCATCGCTACTATAATTGTTATAACATTATCCTGATGTCAAGGGATCATGTGATTTATTTAGCGTATGTAATAAAGTACTGTGTGGGGGTACATTGTTGTTTCTTATCAGAGAGAGAGAGAGACAGTTGTTGAGAAGTTGGATATAAAAGACAAGGTGAAATATTTGACACAGCCTATAATGAGAACCCTTAACTTCAAGCAGTATTTTTTTACAATGAATTTTCCTCATAAGCGACATTGTACAGTAATTTGACATCTAGATCGTTGCACTATTAATACACAAAACAAAAAAAATACCAATTTGGAGAGACCACTAACTAAAATCATATATATGTGTATATATATATATCAAGTGAAAATGTGTTTGCAGATTTGTTCCGCCTGTTTCTACATGGATTGATGGATCTTGACCAAACTTGGCACACGCATCCATCATAACCCAGAATGAAATAGTGTCTTTTTAAAAAAAATAACAAAATATTCCTTTTGGGACAAGGGGCCTAAAATGTAGTTTTTTCTTATACAGACCTGTTTACCCTCAAACTCCTAAAATCGTACAATATCGTCTCAAAATCGTACAATGCAGTATTTTGATAGTAAATAAATAAAAATACAGTACATGTATATATAATGTATACAATAACTACTCCTATAGCGTGATCAGTGGAATCGAGTTAAGCTGGCGTCAAAATATGGAACTGTTTGGTTAACAGTAGATGACTGACGTTAACCGCAAACTGCGGTCACTTTGTTTTGCTGACGTGTATCTGCTGATACATGTTAATTAATATTTCGGTTAACGTGCTGATCACATTATCCCAGTCTGTCGCAGGTAAAAACAAAATCACCGTGAAATTTAACGTTGTTCAAGACGTCAGATAAGCATAAAATAAAATATATTAAAATAAGAATTAATTACCCGGTAACAAATCCCCCCCCCCCCTTTTTGTGTGTACAGTACAGTAAACTTTAGAACACCAGCCCCACTCCACACCCCTCTCCTCCCCATAAAATTAACAAAATCCACTGTATATTATGATGATACAGTAAACAAAATGTGACACGGGTTTTCACCACGTCCATGGATGATTCGGCCAGCCCAGTGGTTCCCAGAATAAACGCTACATCGCCTGGGTGCTCGTTGCCCTTGGGCAGGGCCATGAGAATGTGGCAAAGGGGGTAGCTGCGGCTTCCTCATCGGGGCGTTGCGAAATATTTTTAAAAATTCATTATTTTATTTTCACTTTTAAACCAATGGGACAACTTTCGGTTGTGGTGCAAACTGTAACCCACTAACCAACCGCTGTTTGCAGTTACAAATGGCACTCAGTGACCTACATACACATTATATTTATTTTTACCCAACCCTTATTGTATTTGTGTATTCGCTATTTCGAATTGTACATGTTAGAATTCAACACAGGGAGCCTGGTGAAAACCTAGAATGGCTTAGGCGCAGGGAAACGAAAATTTTAGAACCACTGGCGTAGCCCACCGAAATATACATCACACGCGCGCTGACCATTCAGTGGACAAAACATTACTACAATTTCTCTACTACTGAGTTTAGGTATCGCTAGCAAGATCTTTTGTGAAAATACATCTTGACATCATCACGGCCATAATTTCTGCTAAACATTGTCTGGTATTTTACAGCATTTGAGATATAAATGTGCTACACAGTATATTGTGTCTTACATCCAAACAAGAATATAAACTTTCTTTATCTTTTGTTGAAGCTGATGTTTATCGGTAGAAGTTTCTTCTTCATCATCGGTTTCGCGTACCTTTCTTTTTGTAAAATACTCACTAAGTAAACTAAATTAGTGTAACGAAAATTAAAAGGATCGCTGATTCCATTAAAGGTAACATTAAAATCAGGCAATGTGCACATCAGTCAATGTATTCAAATTCGAACCCAAAGCTGTTTGGGAAATGGGACATTCAGTATAACATACCTGGTACGCAAAATAAACATTAAAAAGTTTTACAAAAATATTTATACCCCCCCCCCCCCAGCTGATTTTTTCTGTTAGTAAAAGGGGGGGGATGGGGGCATGGGCGCCCGCAGGGGGGGGCAAGGGGGCCCTTGGCCCCCCCCGGTTGGTTGGAAAAAATTTTTTTATAAAAAAATGGAAAGAAATTTATTAAGGAAAAAAAAAAAATAAGGCAATGTGCACATCAGTCAATGTATTCAAATTCGAAACCAAAGCTGTTTGGGAAATGGGACATTCAGTAAAACATACCTGGTACGCAAAAAAAACATAAAAAAGTTTTAAAAAAATATTTATACCCCCCCCCCCCCAGCTGATTTTTTCTGTTAGTAAAAGGGGTGGGATGGGGGCATGGGCGCCCGCAGGGGGGGGCAAGGGCGCACTTGGCCCCCCCCGATTGATTGGATAAAATTTTTTTATACAAAAATGGACAGAAATGTATTAAAGAAAATAAAGAGAAAGTAACTAAGCTGATGTCCTGTCCGTTCGTTCACCATGCAAATACGCTACGGTAAATTAAAACTACATTAAAACATTACTAACATTTTTTGCCTCCCCCTGGAAAGTTAATCGATTTTTTTGCCCCTTCCTAGAAAGTTTTCTGCGGACGCCAATGGATGGGGCGTAGTATTAGTAGTGATGCCAAAATGACGTATTACGATCGCTGAGGGTAAAGAGCTGCTTTGCGAGTTCTACCAATATTGTTTAAATGTCGCTGACTAGCTCTTATAAAACATGCCCAAATCCAACGTTCCAGTGCAGAACAGTGGGATCATGTATTTTAGTGTAAAAACCATATCGTCTCTAGTTTTCTCCGTTTTCACAATCGCCACGGTTCACGGGAACAAAACTACGTCACACGCTTGGTAGTAGTCAAAGGGGGGTGGTGGTGAAGCGGTCGCTAGGGTGACTAGTATAAATATTACCGGTGACGCAGCTAACTAGTTCACAGTGACACACAAGGCAACAGTATGACAATCATCACTATCAATACGATAATTTGAGGTAATATTTTTATAGCCTTTGACACTCCCACCAATCCCCCACCCATGTGTCCATAAATCTCTTTAATCAAAACCCCCCCACCTCCCCTCTCAGTGCGCACATAACATAATGAAGGAGGGTCCCAACTTTAAAAAAAAAATTACAACTAATCGTTTTTCTCGTTCCATTCACCAGTAGATTTCTATTAGAAAGGGCTAAAACTTTAGCAAACGGAAAAAAAAATATTTTAAATCGGAAATTTTTTTTTCACCTGGCCTCTGAAAATCGTAGTTTTGGCGGGTTTCAGCGTACAATCGTAAAAGACATCTCAAAATCGTACATAGTACGCCAAAATCGTAAAAGTAAACAGGTCTGCTTATATGACCTGTATAAATATAATTTCAAACATTGGCTAGGACATGGATGGATAGATCCAAACCAAACTTAGTATGCAAACACCTGATGGATGAATCCAAACCAAACTTAATACGCAAACACTTGATTATCCAGATTGAAATACTGATGGGTTTTGAACTCGTAATATCCACTAGTTCGGGGCTGGATTTCAATTTCACTTATTTTTTATGTTTGTTCTGCATACATTTCTATATGGATTGATGGATGATGACCATATATCCTTTATTATCCAGTATATAAGTAGGTGCTCGCATCGTTTTCGTAAATTTGACTGAAAATACAATTTTGGAGGAGTGAAAAAATATCAAGAGTCACTAGTGGACAAATAAAGTGACTTATAGAGGAGTAAATCATTTCAGTCAACAACTTAATTTTAAAAAACATTTTTATAAGGTAAGTAGAATTCTTTTAATTTTTTTTATTGCTCAATCCCACCAGGGAAAGGGATCCAACTTAGAGTGGGATCACCCGATAATGCGATCCCACCTGGAAACGGGATCAAACTGAAAACAGGAGGCCATCAGGAAACAAGATCTGGACTGCGAACTGGATCGCATCAGGGAACAAATGTTTACAAAAGTTAATATAAATGTGGTTTTTGAAGGAGAAATTTAAATTTTAGAGATGTATTTTTCAGGGTTCCCACACTTTTTTAAAAACAAAATTCCCTACTTTTCCCCAACTTTTCCCAACTAAAAAAAAAAAATTCCTGACCATCGCAACGCATCGTTTTTGTTGATAATATAAAAATCCATGCATTCGTCAAAGTAAAGCAACGTTGAAATACATCACAAATGAACAAAAAATTAAGCGATTGAGGAGTATACATGTAAATATTTATTAAATTTCCTTGCAATTGCAATTTACTTGGACGTGAAAAATTGTTGATGTTTACTTTTACAGTGCAAAGGCAACTTTCGCAGTGTGTTCTCTGGGGTATTTTAGTACATATGTATAGTGGAAAGCATCTTTTCTTATAAGAAGCTTTCGTTCGCTTCTTCTTTCTTTTGAGGGCCCACGATCAATGAATTGATCATTCTGGCTCCTATGTTTCAGAGGGGTTCGTGATGTTACTGTGTATGGGTTTCAAGGGGATACTTCACTGGTTGTAAGGGCTACTCAGCAGTGGTGTTTCGAACTGGGAGTTGCAATACAGGAGGCAGTAGACACAAATGTGTCGAGTGTAAGCGCCTCAACTGTTGCTTTTGGAAGCTAGTTCCAGTCCCCTATTGTCTTCGGCAGGAATGAGGAGCTCCTGTACTTTGTTCTTGTTTTTACCAGCCGGAACTGTCTGTCGTGGCCTCGTCGCTGTCTAGGGGGAAGATGAACGAGTTTCTGTTTGATTCCGGAGCAGTGGACCAGCCCATTTTTGATCTTGTACAACATGGAGAGCCTGGATAGTCGTCGTCGTCGTTCTTCCAATGTAGACCAGCCCAGTGTTTTTAGCATGCTGCCAACACTTGAGGTGTTTCTGTAGCGGTTCATGACAAAGCGTGCTGCCCGTCACTGGATCGCCTCCAACCTGTCGATGCTTTTCTGGGTAAATGGGTCCCAGACTGTAGAAGCGTACTCTAAAATAGGTCGGACAAAGGCTTTATAGGCTTTTTCTTTCACGCTCGAGTTTCCACTCCCCAAAAAAAAATAAAATAAATAAACAATCCTTGCCTACACTCTGTGCTTATGAATAATAGTATAATACCGTAAAGTATACCCAGAGCACGGGAGTGCATAAAATAAGATCTAACTATATATTATATATACTATATAATAGGATATAATATATATTATCTACTGTTAAATTAGTCTCAATGAATCGATGTAGTATCAAGTCCAATCAACTAGCATTAGTTTTAGTAACTTTTAACTTTTACAGGAATTTCTGATTTCAGCCCTAAGCCTAAACTAGCTAATCTACGCAAAAAATAACATCACAAAATAACTTGATCTTATTAGCTTTTTTTAAATTAGAAGGCCTACTCCGTAATTAAATGTTAAGTGAACTTGAAGTCTTTTTAAAATGTTAAAGTTAAAGGCTGCCTTGTGCTAATAAAAAAAAAATTAAATGTCGCCCGCATACAGTAAAACAGTTAAAGTTAAAAATCAACTTATGAAGCTGAAGACTACGACATAACAAAGTACGCTAAGCTTAGTCATTGCAGACAGCGCTTGGATGAGTAGTTTTCTATTAATAATGGTTACCTCACAATTTAAAACTAGATTCAAATAATTATTCATTATTTTACACTTTACTTACCCAAACAATCGAACATCTCTTGATCGGCGATGTGAACAGAAAATAAATATGTCTGGTCTATCGAAGTTGTACGGTAATAGAAACTAAAAGCGTTCGAATACGTATGCCCAGTCAGGGGAAGCCACTAGCAAGGTCCGTTTTAAAACAGAAATGCTAAAAATAGACGAGGTCAGCGATTAACGTCAATTTTCATAGCATCCAAAACCAAATTTTTTACAAATTAAAAAATTCCCGACTTTCTGGAAAATTTTCTTATTAGAAGACCCATTTTCCCGACCGGGAAAATTATTCGATAAATTCCCGACTTTTTCACGTTTTCCCGACTGTGTGGGGACCCTGATTTTTACACAGCCCTAAATTTGTGATGTAAGCTAAAAGGCTGTGGAAGCTTTTTTCCGAGTGCAATCCCCGGCTCATCGCCAGGTATATTGGCTAGTAATTGATAAACTTAATTATTGCAGAGCGCTGCCTTTGCTTCTGCAAACAGTTATTACTAATAAGTGAGTAATTGGTTTACAATTTTGAGTTACTGGTTTAGACTAAGTTTGCTATCTGTCTACCAATTATTATGATATAAATTTCTTTTTCCACTTCGCAGCCCCCAAAGCAGGGTTTGAGAACCTATGCCATATAGACTGAACTAGGAAGAGAAATAAATTTTACAATAAACAAGAATTACCTTGATGCCTTCCTCATCATTTACTCGTCGTATCATCTTCACACACATTTCTGGGATTTTGGGAAAATCACTATGTTCAACACAAATGTCTTTGAAGATGCGTATAACTCTTTTTCTAACACTAATGCCAGTATCCTGAAATTTAAAAATTGTCAAGATATGCCACTGCTTTACTGTTAAGAGGGAGCTATAGAATAATTAACTATACAACATTACATAAATCAAAATTATTAACTATCAAATTAATATTGCGATTGTGAAACATTTTTCTTCCCATTTATTTATAAATTAGATCCCTTTCTTAAATTCAAACTAGGAAATGTTGGAGAAGCGCAATGTGCTGGTCTAACTTGCTGTACTTGGTTTTAAAATTCTTTTTCAAAATGAATTGCTGCACCACATATATAAAATAACTGAAACAAAAATAACAAGATTTACTTAAAATTGTAAAATACTGTTTGCTTTTTTTATATAAAAGAACAGCTAAATCCCTTTCAATCTTTCTTAAAGCTTAATTTTATCAGTAACATCTGATTTCTTCTGCTTTTCAAACAAAACTAAAAGATATTTCACTATAACTTTTATTATTACCAAAATTCTGTCAGAAAGCATATCATAATAGTTTGGAATGAGGTCTGGTTGAATGAGGATAAATTTTCCAACTAATTCAATTGCTGCTTCTCTCACAGATGTAGATTGATCCAAGAACCTGCCATGTACACCACGCTGCATATCCGTCTGAAATAAATGCAAACTGTTAAACCAAACTCAGAATGTAACTGTATTGTAGACAAGATGTTTTAATTCTTTTTCATTTTTCTTTCTTTTAGGTGCAAGGAAAATTGTAAAGAAATTTTTAAAAAATATCAAATGAAGAAAGATGAAAAAGATCTGGTAACTAATTTTAAAAATTAACTGTAAAAAAAAAAGTGCTAAATATTATGATTAAGTTATAATCAAAATAGACAAAAATAAATTTTTTAAACCTACCCGAGCAAGTATTCCTGGATCAGCTTCAACTACTGCTGTAAGGCATTTCATGGCTTTGGTTCTCACAGCAACTGCTGTTTCACTCAAAACTTTAAGTATCTGCAAAGTGATTCATGCAAATATTTTTTGTAGAAGAAATGTTCGGGGAAAACCCCATTATGTTCAAGGTTTCTTTCTTTTTCTTCTTCTTCTTCAATTTATTATATAAAAATAAACTAAAAATTAGTGTCTGTGCCAATATAGGTGCTTACAAAAAAGTCAGAAGATTAACTTTAAGTTAATTTATGGTATTATTCGAATACTGTTTTTTAAATTTCAATAACTTTAGACTTGCCTACAGCAGATAGAAGGCTACCTTGATAATAAATATGTAAAAAATATCTGTTCCAACAAATGAATTAAAATATATATACCTGGGTTAGATAAATGTCAAAGCTTTGAGCAAATGGACGTTTCGATGACAGGTATCTTGCCACTAAACATGCACTGTCATAGTCTAGTTTTGAACCAGCATGCCTGAAACACATGGAAATCAAATTTTACACACAAAAAAGTAAAGTTTGTCAGGGTTCATAGGTCCAAAATTCACCACTTTTCCCAAACATTTAGAGACCTATTTATTATATTCTAAAAAATACATTTTTAAAAAAACTCGCCTAATTATAGCATTGATACAAAATTCTTTATCACGCTATTTTTGGAAATATATATCACAAAAGTCTGTAGAATATTATATAAATTTAATTCAGCTTAGTGCTCAAAAGTAATTTGTTGTTTGAATCAACAGTTTAAACATACCAATCATGCACAGAATAATGAGGAAATGTCTTGGACAAAATATTTTAAAATTTCTAAGCAGCCCAGTGGTTTAAAAAAAAAAAAAAATGTGGTCAGCTTGATTTAAATATTCAAACAGTCCATTTAATATTTACATAAATAATACATTATTTATTACCTTTAAAATATATCACTTTTTTTTTAATGTGTCTCCCTTTGTCAGCAATAAGTTTTTTGAAGTTTAAGGAGTTACTTCTCCTTATCTGATGCCTTTTCTTGTAATGTATTGAAGTGCAGATAAAAGAGTAAAGAAGTCTCCTATAAGAATTAGCCTTATATGTCTTGCTGTTGACTAAGGTAACTAGACTGGCTACATCTACTTCCAAGGCCTTTTTTTTGGATTTCAACTCCTGAACTTTATCGATTTCAAGTTTTTTTGTAATTTACTCAAGCAGAATACATATTTCTTCTAACTGCTTTTCCAGATACAATTTGTGTTTCATCCTTGCTGATGAGGCTGAATTCAGCAACTCTTTTGTTATGGAAAATTAATGAGGTCCTCAGCTCTTCTGACTTGATCTTCAGGGACCCCCTTTTTTTAAATTTTGTCAATGATCTCTTTATTCACAGAGAAATCTTTCTACTGTTGCATGGCCATGTGATAACAAAAGGAGTTTCTGAAGGGGTGAAATTTCTGTGTTTCAATGAAAGTGGCTGTGATAATGGACTCATCATACTTTTCATACTGAGCCAAGTTGGTCTCACTCTTAAACTCTATAACTTCTTGTGTTTCATACATCACTCAGAGAACTCAGGTTAATTCAGCTTTTCTGTTGTCTTTTTCCAGACACCAAGACATATTTCTCCCTAGTACATGTTAAGAGATTGTTCCATTATCTTCATTAAAGTGGCAATTAAAAATGCCTTTCACTCTGATCTAAAATTGCATTTTTTTATCTTTATTCAGCAAAAGCTTAGAAGGAGAAAATCCAAAATTTATTTTGCTGGTACCTATATAATTATATTCTCTAAAAAACCCTAAGTTTGATACAGTGTTGAGACCCGCTGGTCCTCACCTTTGTGAGACCCGCTGGCTCCACTCTCTCCATCGCTTCCCCATGCGTTCATCGCTACCCCACGCGATATGACACAATTAGGCTGGGCCTTAAAACAATAAAAGTAGACTCAAATAACAATGGAAATTAACTTATTCACTTTGGCCATGACCCAGTTTAAGCAATACACTCATTCTTGTCAAGCGTCCCAACTCTGAGTTGTCACTCTGATGAACAACGCTTAAAAAGTAACGGAATCCCAAGCCACGCTTGTGAGTCATTTAAACACGACTCTGGGATGCCACGCTTAAATGCGGGACAAGCACGCCAAACTTAGAGTATATATTGAAAGCCCAAATCATGTATCGGCCTCTCTTACCTGAATTATGTCAGAAGAGCCTGGCTGGCATAATTAGCTGATAAAGTGTGTTTATCCTGATTGTGGTGGGTTAGTATTGTTCAATTTCATATTCATGTGTACTGGTATGTAGAGTCGTAGATGTAATGTTATTAAGAAAATGGTAGGACTATAGTTACTATTGTTAATTTTTGATTATGATAACTACTAATAATTTATAATGTGATGTGATTTGTAATTCTTAGCTATGTCTTATGCATTGTATTTATTATTCTCATTTCTAGCCAGTAAATTACAGTAAAGTGAAGTAAATTACACCCAGTAAAGTAAATTACACCCAGTAATAGTAAAATTACCTGAAGTAAAGTAAAGTAAATTACATGAAGTATATTACATGAAGTAAGTTACAGTAAGTAACATTTGGCCAGTAAAGACTATTTGACCAGAAAGTATTTGTAAAGTAAATAACATTTGGTCAGAGTTGTAATAGTTCAATAAATAATATCTGGAACTAAAGTAGTACAGTTCAGTAAAGGAGACGCCGTTATTAGCACGAGGGAAGCCCACGGAATCAAACAAGACGGTAGCATATACTGTGTGTGTGTAACCCACAGTAAACTTCAAAGTCGGCACCTACCTCCTCGCAGTGCCAGTGACCGGAGACACTTACGCAGTCAAGCCGCCCAACCCCGCAGTACGTTGTGACCCGAGCAGAGGGCTGCTGTGGTGTGTGTGTGTGGGACTTACTTATTTGACCAGATCGCCATTGAGAGCCTACTATGCAATAATATTGGGCAGTATCTTGTTATCCTGTTTATGTGTATAGTATATGTAATTTGTATGCTGATAGTTCTGTTTTCTTATAATTAAATATTTATTTGTGGGCTGAACCACTCTTGTTTTATTAGTATAGTTAAAGTATTACTAGACTTGCAAGTGAGAGTTTCCTTGAATGAAAGAGTGAGTGTGAAGTAGGATTAGTGTAGAATACTTCAATCAGGAAATTAATCGTACCCTAGACATAACCATAATAGCAGTACTAATCTTACGTAGAGGAAAGGGACCTTTGTTTGTTTATACAAACATAAACATTTCAAACCCAATACTTTTAACAATTGGGTCAGAACATAATTAATTAAAACACATCATAGTTTGTAACATACAGCTGTTACAGATTTGGCCACTAGGGTTATGGATCATTAAGAAATCAACACAGCACATATCAGTGAAATAGAGAAATCAAATGTTTTTCTTCTGAATTTTAAAATTTTTTAAAAATTTTCCCCAAACTTTCAAAGACCCTGATGTTTTTTGTCAATTTTCCCAAACTTTCTGGGCCGTGGAAATTTTAAAATATATTTTCCCCAAACTTTCAAAGACCGAGCGAATTTATTAACTACAATAATAAACTATTATATTTTATAGAATATATTGCGAGAAATTTATGGTAAAATATGCTACTTTAAGTTAAGGGTTTGCATTAAATGTACATGCAAACAATTTTTCATTTATAAAATATTATAAGAATGGCTTCGCAAACATATCTTCTTGATACACTCACATTCGGGGATTGAACGAACTCTGTACCGTATGTAATTTGAGTAGCACCCCCTTATTGGTGTAACCGCAATTCATTTTAAATACAATAAATAATAATTTTAAAGATTTGGTGTAACCGCAATTCATTTTAAATACAATAAATAATAATTTTAAAGATTTAGACATTTTTATTTTACAAATATTTTGTTAATTCACATTATTTATAATTTTATAGCAGAAGATGAACATATCGCATTTTTAAGTGAAGATGGCATTTTAGGATTTTTTAAATAAAAAAACTAGGTTCGCTTTGCAAGTGAATCATCTTGTATGAGATAGTATAAGGTACTTATAACAAAATAATACTTTTTTTTATACTATACCTAAATTAATTTTTAAAATGTACATACTTCAAATTTGTAAGTGGTTTGTTGTAACAAGAGATTTGAGAGCTCAGGAATGCTTTGCGTTTCTCTGCATTTTGCATAACTTCAGTTGAAGTCTCCTCTTTTGTTTCATTGAAATCTTCATCCTGCTCTTCACCTGAGGTATTGAGGTGTGCTTTAAGTGTCTTTTCTGCCTCAACTGTTGTATCTCTGAACCACTGAGCAATATAAAACTCACGAGCAAACTGAAAAACAAAATTCGCCCTATATTAATGACACAATCAAAACCATTTATTAGGCCTCTCTAAAATACTTGCAGAATATAGAAATTAAACAAACCATGAATAATAATAGTAGTGTTTTACTTACAAACAATGCAGATTCACTCTGGGCATTATAGGCAAGATACTCTAACATGGCTTGCTGTAGTCTCTCTGTTACATCTGTAACACCCTTTTGCTGTAGAATGATATACATAGAGAAAAATATATTTTGAAGTTAGTAATTTATACTTTGCATAAACTGATATCTTTTATTTTTTTAAAATAATTATCTGAATGATACTCATTAAGCATAAGCACACAAGGTGTTGGAGGTCAAAGTTTTAAAAACACATTTAACCCGTTTTAAGGGGAGGTGTGAGTGAAAAATCTAACATTTTTGTTTGGCTTCATATAGGATTTTTTTTTACCTACACCTTATTTGGTATTGTAATGGAGGTACAAAACAGTTAATAAAAAAAAATTCCATTGGTTGCCTTTGTAACCCATAAAAACCTCCGCAATTTTTATTTTTAAGTGTTTTTTAAAACACTACGGCTTTTACAAATATTAAGTTATTGCCATAAGATTTTAAACATAGCTTATTTAACCTATAATAAAACTTTGTGTTACAGGACTTTTTGATGTAATGACCAGTTATAAATCAACAGGGTCACGAATTGTGCCCCCAATTTTTATGCAAAAAATAGGGGTGTGGGTGAATTCTTTTTTACACATTTTCTTTTCTAAGATAGCTATCTTAATTCTAGGTTATTCAAATGTTTATTATTGGTTACTGAACATACTAGGAAAATTTGGATAGTAAATAAAAAAGTTATAGGGATATTGGTGACCATAAATATTGAAAACAAGAAGCCTGAAATAATGAATAAAAATGACAAAAACAATGGAAATATCAATGAAAATAAGAAATTTATATTCAGATTCGAATGAAAATTTTCATTAGCCTATTGTGGACATTTTTTATCCCTTTCCAGGTCCTTTTGTCTTTTTTCCTGACCACTCAACTTTTCGCTGCGATTGATGTATTTTTATCTATTATTCTGTGTTTGTCAAAAAATAATAATTCCCTTATCTTGGAGAATTTTAGCATTATAAAAGTGTGCAAAATCATAAAACTAAGCTATGAAAAAATGCGATTCCAAAGAGTTATTTGGCATTGTCCGTGTATACTGAAAATGAAAATCTTGGTCTTTTAAAAAAAATTGTAAGTTCTTTGAGTTCTAATGACAGAATGAATATTGACAGTTGTAAATTTTCTGATTTCTATCTCACAACTTTTTAATCACTTGAGTTGCAACATTTATTTTTCCCAAAAGCATATTATCCCTTTACTGGGCAGAGCGGCCGAAAACGTCTTTAGTACTGAACGGGCAAAACGTCCAAAAGGATCCGTGATGACATATAGTTGTAAATTTGTGACCTCCGAGTCTTTGGGAGACTTCCTATTGTTTACATCAGGTTTTTCCGATAGCTGGATAGAGTGGGCGCCAGTTACAAGTATTTTATCCATTTATTTTTTTAGTTTTAAGGGTTTAAAAATTTTTTTTTCTCGAAATGGATTTTGCCAATTATTTGCCGATTATTCAAGTGATAGCGGAGATTTCGCTGAATTCAATTTAAGTGACATTAAAGTGCACAAGTTGACTGTAAATTGGAATTAGATATTAATATTATTAGTAATATTAGTGAAATCAGCAGTGTTGAATTTTACAAACTTCGACTTTGTGGCAGCGTTTGTAAATAGTAAATAGATGACTCACAATCACAAACAATGTTTTTTTTTGCAATTATTTGTGTTCATATGAGGACTAATGGCAACATGTGAGTAAAATTATAAATCTGCATTCATTTTCCTTTATTTTGATTTTTATTTCACAAAAATTTGTTGATTAACACCTTAGATTTGATTTTTTTTACTAACGTACCCCTAAATCTTAATAAAAACCGGAGAAGTGGTGCCCGTTCAGGAGATGCAAGAGGAAGTACCTCGGCCCCCTAAAGGGTTAACAGGTTTTTTGTGTGAACCAGAAAACTAAACTCATAACAATAACTAACTCCATTGTAAAAGCTTATTAGTTACTGTATCAAATTTTAACATTAATCATGTTGAAAATCACATCGCATTGACATACAATGTTGAAACAAGGGAATTATTGATATGTTCCTTTCAAGTACAGTCTTATTCTTTTTGTCCTTGAATAACACATTATGTGCGTTGTGATGTAATCTATGTTAGTATGCTCTTGCATCCTCTGCCTGAGGATACTTTTATTTTGATGCATCAAACATATGTTGCGACGAGGAATCTGTAACAACTGGAACCCATACTTAGGGCACTCCTTCTTTTTAATGTACAAATTGCCAAAGGGCTAAATGGACTAAGGCACAACAGATCAGTGTAGTTTATCAACAGGAAATATAACGCATGTTGTGTTCGTTTGTGTTCCGCACACTCATTGCACGTCTCCTCAATCATTCCTGAAAACAATAAACTTGTAACTAGATATTTTTATTAAATACTTCTCAACAAAAATATAAGGCTATAAGGACATTAATGACTGAAGGGTCATACTTGTTGACAAGTATTTCAAGCAAAATTTGTTAGGGCTCTCATTTTACCTTAGAATAAAATAACACTAATGACAATATCATTTGTGCCACGATAAGCAAAATGAGAAATTAAATATATTACCATTTTAATAGCTATAAATATTGGACAATGTAAGTCAAGTATCACAATTAATACATTTTTTTTAAAGTTATTTTTACTACTGTTCACTTTCACTAAACTAACAGTGTTTAATAATAATAGTAAAAAAGTTTTTAAGTATAGCCTTCCTTTAAATTTGAATCTAAGCGAAAAATAGATTTAAGACTTACAATCAATATTGGCATGGTATTTTTCTATTTTCTTCCTGCTAGTAAAGTAGTGTAGCGATGCTTGAACTTGAAGGGACTAGGAGTAGGAGTCTTTAGTCTTAGTAGTTTAGTGTACTCAGACTTAGTCTTCTCCGAAAAAGGAGAAGAATTAATCTTCTTTATCATGGCAATTAATCAAAGACAACTAATTTTTTTTGGTTATTTACTAGTTTAGTTTTTTTTAATTCCTCAATTGTTTTTAGTTTCAATAAATTATGTTTAATAATTCTAGGCCTCACGAAATGAGAAACGGTTTGTTTATACCGGAAGTAGTTATTACAGATTTCCTACACAGGAACCAATCAAAATGCTCATTTTATTCAAAGGTCAGGGCTAGATCACGTGATACACGAAGTAGGACAGGAAAATACCAAATTTTACTAGACAATACCGGTAATCGAAAGGGTCGGTTACTTTCGTAATTTTCTTTATGCCAATAAGCTATATTTATCTTGATCCGTAAATCACCATCTTTCCAATCATACCAAATACATTGGGATTGGGCGATTCCAAATACTCAAAACAAAGGGGTAAAAACACAAAAAATTGGGCCATTTTGACATTTTTCTGATTAATAGGATCAGGAAACTTGTAATTTATTATATTTTCCAACTTACTTTTGTAAAAACAAATATAAAAATTTAATAAAGAAATGGTTAATAAAACCAAAGAAACAATAAAAAATTATTCAAAATTTGCCATTTTTGCCAATTTCTCACCCGCACCTCCACTTAAGTAGACTAAGCATAATATCATTTACTTTTTAAGCTTAATTTCATAAATATTTTTATAAATCTGAAATATATATGAAACTATCTGCAAATCTAAATATATTTATTATCTTATCATCAAATAAAACAAAGAAAAAAGCATACAATGATTTTGGAACACAAACCTCATTCTTTTTACTTTTTGTTGCTGCTGGATCATCATCATCCCCCTCACTGACCTAGTGAAATACATCAACAAATAATTTACTAAAAATCCTAATCCAAAATTTCCACCATGAATGTTGAAGTTTAAATATGAGTAAGTTTAATAATGAATTTAATTTTAGCCAAATTTTAATTAAAGAAACATTTTTATTTTAATTTAAGGATCTTTTTTAATTTGTCTTCGAAAGTCATATACTTCAAACCTGTTTAGATTTCATACAGAAAAATACAATTTCATAGTGGTGTAAAGTGGTATTTAAGGCAAGAGATTGACAATGGGTATATTCTTTTCATCGGTGGTTCCCAACCTTTTTATACTCCCCACCACATACATATTACTTGAATAGTCTCACACCCACTAAGAATTCTTTTTTTGTGTGTTTTTTTTTACCAAGTCTTGCATTCTCTAATAAAAAAATAACCATTTAAAATTAAGGGACTTCTAATTTATCCAATTGCAAAAAGAACTTTACAACCTGGAAATTTAACTATGATTTATTACATCGGGAAAATTTTAAGACAGAAATTTTTTAAATTTTAAATGTAAACATTTATGTCATAACTTTAAAGCCAATGCCTACTCTGCCCTTATAATCACTTTTCCTTGCACCCCTGCAAGGACGTCAGGTTGGGAATGCTTGCATTAAATTTCAAATCAGGGCCTACCTTGTGCACTATATCAGCAATAACATCTTGATTTAACTGACTAGTAACAGCATCTTTTCTTAACCTAGCTGCCACAATGCCCAAATATTCCAAAGATGCAACACGAAGTGACATATCAGTAGACTTGCTACTAAATTGTTGTACCTGAAAATAACATTTTTTCAAATTATCAACTATTATTGAGTACACCATTATTTAAATTTTGCAACAAAAACCATGAGAGAAATTTATTGGATGTATTATTTAGATATTCCTATAAGCATAAATAATTTAAATTCAATCTCAGGCTGAAAAAACTATAATACTACCTAGCTTACCGTAGAAAGCGGACTTTAAAAGAGATTCTTATAATTTTCTCCGGGTACATTGAATAATGAAATTGATATTATAGATTTCCAAGATTCTACCATTTATTCTACAAAAGCATTCCACAAATTATGACCGCGCCGGTCTGTGAGCCTTACATTGCCAGTCTCCACAACATTGGTTTTCCTTTGCATATAAAACTGTCTACAATCGAGAGAGACCTGCTTTTCATCTTTCCTCATATTTTATTAATTAAGCCTTAGTTACTAACCAGAATTCTCCCAAGAAGACTTAAAAGTAGTTCAGATGCTGGCCACTCTGGTTTGTTCACAGTTGTTAATAAATCTTGAACAAAATTTTCAAAAAGGGGTCTATAATCCTCTTCTCCCTTTGTTGTGCACCTATAAAATATAAATTATGTACCAAATTTTAATTATGTCCTAATATTGGACAATCTAAAATGCAGTTCATCCAAATTATGTAACTTAAAATAAGAGGCTATTATTTCTAAAGATCCTTTGAATACTAATTTCATCTAGAATCTACAAAAAAATTCTTTGTAATATTATTTCAGGCTTAATCTTGAATGCATTTTCTACTTTGAACTTAGTAATCCATGTACATATTAAAGCACTGTTATGCACTAGTTTCCACTAAAAACTTAAACCTAATTTAATATTGCCTTAAATTGGTCAACAACTCTACATCGGACATATGCCTTTTTAAAAATTGTGACAAAGTTTGCCCCCCCATAGAGGAAGAATGTTTCTTTTCACATTGCATAGCTGAGTTACAGCTTGTATTTTGTTTGTCACACAATGCCCAAGTGCCATGGACATGAAGTTGTTCAGAGATCATTAAGCGCTCTTACGAATTTATTTTTTTTTGCACAATTGATCAATCAGCAGTTATCTGTAATAAAATATAATAGGAAGCAAAAAAAACAACAAAAAAAACCCCAAAATTGTCTCAATAACTTAAGTTTTGCATGTGGCTAGTCTGTTTTAATCCAAATTTTATAAAACAGACAAACAAAATAGAATATAAAGTTAAAGATTTGAAAACTTACTTTTTCAGAAATACAGATAAAAAGTTATATCCTGTTCGCATTGCTGTTTCATATGATGTCACAATTAAAACATCATTATCACTCTTTGAAATCGCACCCTATAATTAAAAGAAGACAATAACGTTTGGACAAAAAGATAAATTTATAATACTTTTTTTTTTTAAAAGGTAAGATGGGGGTGGGGTGGGCAGTGTGTTTGAATGGGGGCAGGAGGGAGAGAGGGGGAGAAAGAGAGGGGGGAGGTAAGGAGAAAGATAGAGAAATGTGTCAGTTAAGCATAAATTTTCCATTTTATTTATAAAATTAAGCCAAAAACTTTTCGAAAATGAATACAAAAAATACCTCTTCTGGGCTTTTGTTTTTTTTATTCTTTTCCTGATCACCACCCTCTTCTTCTGAGTTTGTATCAGGCAACCTAACTACACACTGAATAAGCTGCAAAGCTAAAGCAGTAACCATCTGTATTGATTCATCAGAGTTCAACCTAAAACAGAAAATGAATGCAAAAGGAGTAGCTTAAAAAAATTGTACAAATTCCTTCTTAATTTGAATGAAAAGACAGCAACCAAAGGGTAACATATAATTTAATCTGAAGTAAATTATGATCAAGGAAGACAATTGGGAAAGTATGATCTGTAAGGATTGGCAATCACAGTTTCATTATTTAAATTCTGAGATGCAGAATTGAATTTTGCCTATCCCGTGATCATAGGTCTGCTATTTTAAGGTTTGTTAGCATACTATACATTCATAACATTTTAGTAGATACCTTTTAGTACCATATCAGACCTGCCAACAAAAAAAATCTGTAGGGGGGGGGGGTGCATGCAGAGGGGAAGTGGGGCCACTGCCCCCCAATGGGTGGCGCCCAGTGGGGGGAGTTGGCTTAAGATCTATTTACTAATGCACAAGCCTTTTTTGGTAAATAAAGAAATAAAAAGTTACCTCAATTGTCTTTGAAAAAGAACACCACAGAACATGTGAAAGACTTACTTGAAATGTTTAAATACAGATGTATACAGTATATTTTATTTACATATGTGCACAGGCTGCTAAGGCTAAGAGTTCAGTTTTCCAGTACTTCCCTACTGGCCTTTTTGCACTTGTCCAAGCTATTTTGGACAACTGAAGGTTAGCATTGCAACTGATTTTAGTTACAAGCAAGTTAGAAAAAGTATTAATTTTCATTAGAAATTAGACATGGATAACTTTTAGCTGCAGTTGTATGTTTTTTTTGGGTTAAAATATATGTTTGTTAAGTCTACACGTCAGGCTACCGGACAAATAGTGCGGGAGATGAACACGTTATAAAAAAACATTGTCACTTTTTATCCAATTGTTCATTATATATATATACCAGCAATGGTTCTAGTATTTCTTTTGTAGAATTTAACATGTTTCTCTTTTCGTGTCAATGCCCAGATTACCTTGAATTCGTTGAAATGAAGTACCATAAACTCTGATCGACAATTAGCAGCCACATGACAAGGCTGATGGACAAATATGTCGCGCAACTTTGTTACGGTGGTCATGTGACTTAGTCGGATATATAATAGTAATAGCCGGACGAATATCTCGCCGGAAATGTATGCACTTCTTAAAAACAAATGCAAAACTTCCTGTCGTACATGATTTTTTAAAAAATTTTTGGTAGCATTTGGCTTTTTATGACGGGTGATAAATAATGAAGTTGTTCGAAAAATTAGAATTTTAAGGGTTTGTCGGAAGGTTGGAATGAGAGGTAAAAAATCCGTAAAACTCCGACAAAATCGGAAGGGTTGGCAGGTCTGCCAAATTAGTCAATACATTTTAGTACTTTATACCTGATTAATAAAATTATATTGAAAGCAATTTTACCACCAAAAATACCTACTCATATCAAAGTAGGGCATTACCTGTAGTTTCTCAGATTCCTTTTGCTTGATGGAAGTCTAGCTAAACTTGCAAAGATATCTTCTAAAATGAGCTGCCTATGCTTTGAGTACCGAGAAAACACCTGTTTCACAAAATATTAAGAATTTTTTTTTTAAATTTAATTAAAAGAAACCTCATTATATGAAATATAAAATATTTTTCTACACTAGGGGTTCTTTGTCTTTAATAAGCTGTGATCAACTGTTAAACTATGGTGAAAATGTATAATTATTAGCTAGCTACAGATGTTATCAGAGACATTAATACCTAAAAGACATTGCATGTCATATTTTGCCAGGATATTTCTCTTCTATTAACTATCAACGTAGAAATTGAACTGGTTTGTCAGATTCAGATTTCTACTTTTTACATTTTCATCATAGTTTAACATTTGATCTCATTTATGAATGTTTATCCAGTTTCGATAATAAATAATCAATTAAAAGAAGGGAGAAAGGGCTGAATAAAATTGAAGACGAAAAAAATGTTTTATAAAAACAGACCGGTTTACCCTCTAACTCTAAATATCATACAATATCATCACAAATCGTTCAATACGTTATCTTAACCCTTTACAGTCCAAACCTATTCAGCCTTGTCTACTCCCAACGCCCAAGCAAAGGGACATAACTCCATTTTAAATGAAGGTTCTTTATCTAATTAATTTACAGAAAATAAACTAGAAGCAACAAAATAAAATAAAAACTACCTAAATACAAAGAAATGATTAAAGCAAAAGTTAAACCTAAAAATAGTTTCAGAGACCCTCCCACTCATGAAATAGTGAAGCTTCATTAGGCCTAAGTTCTTTCAAAAGCGTATCCAAGGCTTAAATAGCCATTTTTTACAGCGAAAAAATCGCGACTTTTAAAAAAATCTTAGAAAATCAGCCCCTAAACACACCGCGGTCAAACTAGTATCGAAATAAATGCCGACAACGAGGCTTTCTTCCGGTAGAACTATAAATAGTAATGCGCAATGGATTTCCGCTGTGCTAAGAACGAAAGTAAACACCTCGAAACGGGCGGGTTCGGCCGCATCGGACTGTAGGCTTAAGGAAAAAATCGGCGCATTTTGGGCGCATTTCGGGCGCATCGGACTGTAAAGGGTTAATAGTAATTTTAAAAAAACACACAGTATATATAATGTAGACACCTTAAAATCGTACATTGTACGCCAAAATCATAAGAGTTAACAGGTCTGTGAAAAGCATAATATGTTAATTTATTTTTAATAACAATTCAAGTAATAGAGCCTTACCAATATCCTTTTTAGTGAGAAACCTTTGTATCCATCTGATTTGGTCACAATTAAAATAAATTTAACAAAGTTGTTGTGCAAAAATACTTTTTGAAAAATGACATACCGTTGTAACTAGTTTCATTGAATTTAGTTGTAGTTCACTGATGTTTTCCACAAAAAAAGTTGATACACCAAGTGATGAAACCTTAGATTTAGAAAGAAAAAGAATTATTACTTATTAGTTGTTTTCTCTCTTTCTTTATGAATAATTATATTACAGGTTCATGATATTGCAGTAAATTTATGCCCATTTTTTTAAAAGTTTTAGTCATTAAAAACAAACAATACTTGTAATTAAATTTTTAAAATATATTATGTATATTACCAACAAAATTACATTTAAAAATATTTTTAAGTTGCAAACACAAAGAGTGGAAACCAAAAAATGATAAATTTCACCACACCTGTAAAATAACTGTGTCAGTCAACTGTTGAATTTCTAGCAAGGAAGCAAGAGCATTGACAAGTTCACACATCTTGTTATACAAAGTTATGGTTGACTTATGTTTTACAGATCCAGCTCTTGCCCTTTTAGCCTTAAGACTACCGTGATATCCATCTAAAGAGACATGTATGATCTTATTTGAAAACATAACATAAATAGATCTGATGATGTGAATAGAAAAAGGAAATTTTCTATTAAAAGTAATAAAAATTAAGCAATAGGCAGATTATAAATTTTATTGTTATTGAAAAAAAAAAAAAACACTAATAATTTAATTTTTTTAAAAATAAATTATTTAATGTTTTAAGATACTGAAATCTTTTATCATAAATTTTTTAGAAGGAGATAAAGAAAAAAGTGAATTAGTAAACACACCAATGACATAATTGATAAATCTACAATCTCAACAAACAAAAGAATTCTATCAATGACATAATATCCTACAAAAGGAAGGAATGAAACCAATTAATGATACAGCTAAAATATTAGTTTTCTCACTTAACACTCAAAGCATGAGCAATTAAATTTGAATGATAATTTCAATAATCCCAAAAAAAACATAAATAATTGAACATTTTATAACAAAGCTCTTTATTTACTAATAGTAATATTACATTTCTAAATGGCAACAAAGAAAACTCAACTCCGGTTTTATTTCATAGAGACCAACATTTTTAAAATTTCTACTGACATTTTCATCACCTTGAACACATTTTTCTACTGATCTGAACCAACCAAGGAAAGAAAAATAATTTTTATGTCATCAAATTATGATCATAAACCTGAATTGATGATTCTTGTCTTAACCCTTTACGGGGCAGAGCGGCTGAAAACGTCTTTACCACTTAAAGGGCAAAACGCCCAAAAGTGTCCGTGGCGACATAGAGTTTTTTTTCTCGTGACCTCCGAGGCTTTGTGAGACTTCCTATTGTTTACATCAGGTTTTTCCGATAGCTAAATAGAGTAGGCGCCAGTTACAAGTATTTAATCAATTTTTTTTTTTTAGTTTTAGGGGTTAAACATTTTTTTTTTTGAAATGGATTTTGCAGATTATTTGCCTATTGTTCAAGTGGTAGCGGAGATTTCGCTGGATTCAATTTAAGTGACATTTAAGTGCACGAATTGACTGTAAATTGAAAGGAGATATTAATATTATTAGTAATATTAGTGAAATCAGCATAGTAAGGAGTGTTGAATTTTACAAACTTCGATTTTGTGGCAGTGTTTGTCAATAGTGAATAGATGACTCACAATCACAAACAATATGTTGTATTTTGCAAATATTTGTGTTCATATGACGATTAATGGCAACATATGAGTATAATAATAAATCTGCATTCATTTTCCTTTATTTTGCTTTTTATTTCACACAAATTTGTTGACTAACACCTTAGATTTGATTTTTTTGTAATCTTACTAAAAAATGGAAAAGTGATGCCCTTTCAGGACATGCAAGAGGAAGTACCTATGCCCCGTAAAGGGTTAAACTTAGATGGGATGATGATGCAAAACAGTTGGCATATCATATTTCAAATACAGAAGGACTCATCTACTATTCAAATTTTTAACACTACATACTTTATCAAATATCACATGTGTTAATTTCTAAATATTTTGACTTATTTTACCAAAATATTATTAACATTTAATTATTGTTTGATAAATGATTTCAAATAATTTATTTTAATTTATTAATTTTTATATTAAAAGAAGTTATCAAAAAATGGATAGAAAATGATTCCATGATTACATTAAGACCAAATGAAAAATTTCATTTTTATGACCCTGAATAATCCTTGTCTATTGATTGGTCAAAAATTGTATTAAATCTTTTTTCCAAATCTTGTTAAAATACAGCATTTTTAAAATAAGATTATAAAATTAAAATCAGATTTTTTGTATACAAACCTTTTGCTTTAGGATCAATTTTGTATACTGGATCAAACTCAGGATAGATAGTATTGTGAAGTTGAAATTTAGCATAAAGAATTATTCTTTCTATAACATCTTCCAAATACACTTGTTTTGGCATATTTCGGCCTGTCATAATAGCCAAAGCAGTAAGAGAGGCATCCATGCTGCGCATCACTCGATCCATAGTTAATTCTCGCCATAACTTTGATTCCTCCTCATCTTCTTCCTGTTCATTGAAGAAATGTAATTAAATTTACAAAATAATTTAAATTGTACTCATTAGGCATAAGGGTTATTTAAAATATGTATATCTGTTGCCTTAGGAATGAAAAATTAAATAATTAACCCATTCAATTCTGGTTGCTCGGAAATTTTATCATTTGAAACCCTGGCAAAGCGGAACAACTCTACCTTTTGTGTAGGTAGGTTAAGGAAAAAACAAAATGTATCCATTTAACAGTGATTTTATCTGAAATAAATTGATTTTCATTCATAATTGTTTGCTGTGTGTGTGTTGTATATCATTTCCTGATGCTTTTGTTGTGCTAATTCTCAAAAGTACATTTATGAGGAATTACTTGACTACTAATGATCATAACAATGAAATAAAAAATGTGCTTATTTAAAATAATGAATACTTCTCACACAATCCATAAAAATAATTTTATATAAAGGGCAGTAATCTCCTTTGGTCTTGATTCTTGCAAGATTTTCATTTAAATGGCAAATTTCAGTTTTCTTTATAGCAACATGTATAGCAAAGTGTTGAGTGGCCAGATTTGGCTGTTAGAGGGTTGAATCGGTACCAGCCGATTTGGCTGTTACAGGGATGAATGGGTTAACATTTAAAAAGTTGCCAAATCATTCAATAGTTATAAGATACTTAATATAATTTTATTTTGCAACAGTGATTAAATACCTGATTAATATTGGGTGTAACTTTACATCCATCACGCACATTCCACAGCAAAATGGTCAGCAGTTTAACAAGGCGCTCTGGTGGAACCTAGATTCAGAAGGTAAATGTACAAAACATTCTTTAACTGAGATATTCACACTTAGGTAGCGCAGATGAAGTACACAAGGACAAACTAACAACTGGATATAATTAAATTAATTTAGAGTACTGTAAACTACAAAAAATTTAAAAATTTTAAATATTAAAAGTAACAATTCAAGTGTATTATTGACCATTCCAAATCTGATACTAGGGAAATCTGTCTTGAATAAATAATAATGTACAAAATAAGTGCAATTTATATCAATTGACATCTAAAATAAACATAGCTTATGAGTATTTGAAAAATTAATGTTTCCTTTAATAAATAGTTGTTTACTTGAATATATTTAATGAGAGATGTTTACACCTCTATAAAACAACGGTCTCAAATTCTGTTGTTTTTTTGTTTTATAAGTTTATTTTTCTTTTTTTTAATTGTTAGCAATGTCTTTTTGGCATTGTGAACAAATAATGACACAGCCCAATGCTTGAAAAATGGATATGCAAAATTGGTTGTGGCACATTTGAAACTTCAATAGTTGTTTACTCTATGATTTCATTTTACTGGTGACAGTTTTGGTTTTGGCACTAGCTGTAAAATCCTGAAACTTTGAGCAATTTCTTTGAAAGGGTGCTTTTTAAAGTTTATCAGGCTTGTTCACCTTGGAACTCCTAAAATCGTACAATATCGTCTCTAAAATTGTATACAATATGGAATTGTAAAAGTAAATAAATAAAGGTATTGTTTATATGATGTATACAATGACAAGTCTGATCAGCATAAAATAAAATTTATAAACATAAGAATTAATTGACCTGACCACGGGAGTTGAATTCAGAAAAAATCATAGGCTTCACCACAACACCCTTTGTGACACCTTTTTGTTTCTTTTGGCACGGCTCACAAAGGTGGAGGTAAAGTTCAATATCATTACGTGTAATGTTCTTATACTTGTGTGAAAGTTCTTTCAACATTCTGTCCCTTCCTCCATGTCCCACGGTCAGATGAGCCTCGTGAAGTACGTCAAATAATTCTGAATCCGTGACATAGAACTGAATAGCACTGTCGCCTTCTTTAACAGGATAGATCAACTTACTTTTGTTCTCTACCGCCATTACATCATAGCGTTTCAGCAGCAAATAGTCTCTTGGTTTCTTTTGAGTTGTCATCCGAGCCATTTTCACATCATCCACCAATTTTTGGTAACTAGTTTCCGTTAGAGACACGCAGTTTTTAGCAGTATTGGCTCGACATTGAGAAAGTTCATCGTAGAACCGCCGTTGCATGTAAACATACCGTGATTCCTGATCTGAAGCTACAACCTGATCTTCCCACATCTCGGCAGCCGTCTTGAAACAATAGGAGTAGCATCTTTGGCGGGAGTACAAAGCATACGTGTCGCGATCGTCACGCCACCACCAAGCAAAGAATCAAATATGAATGGCGGGGTATTCTAGACATTGCCGGGTCGCTCTTAGGCATTATATAGAATGCCTAGGAAATGTGTGAAATATAAACCATTTCATACTTTGCCTACAATTTTCAGGCATTATATAGAATACCTAGACATTCTATATAATGCCGGATTTCACACATTGCCAGTAACATATATAATGCATACACCTCAAAATCGTACATTGTACACTAATAGTTGCTTAGTGACTACTTAAACTGATATCAAATGCATCTTACTAGATCTTATAGAATATGTCAAAATCTAATGCTGCTTTGTGGAGCAGTTGAGAATGCATTTTCAAAAAATATATAGTCTAGAAAAAGGAGTGCTAATTCGATGCCAGTGATAACATTAAATCATCCATGCAATGTGCACATCTGTCAAAGTACCCAAATTTGAATGCCAGAGTGGATTGGACAATGGGACATCCATATATAACGTAAGCAAAAATCAACATATTTTCATACCCTGTCAGTCCCATACCCTGTCAACGTAAGGCGTAGTGTATACATTACATAAGCACTGAAGATGCTTATGGCAGCGTGGGGTGGGAGTCAACAGAATGTACATACATACATGCATAAATTCTACAATAATTATCCTGATAGTCTTCTATGGAGCCAACTGTCACCCCTAAACTTTTGTTAAATTCATTATTTCTTACTAAGCCGATAAAATATCACATTGTTTCGTAGTTAGCAGCATACTTTGTGTTTTCATAAATAGCTCGCTACATATAGTTGTAGTAATATATAGCCTAGTGACAACACACTTTAGTTTTTCTGTGGTGGTGACATTATTATTTTGTTCGGCAACCAACCTCCCCCCTCATCATTGGTGTGGGGTTAACCGGGTCACTTAAATCGTAATTCTGACAGGGCTCTGCATAAAATCGTAAAAGACATTTCAGAATCGCACATTGTACTCCAAAATGGTAAGAGTAAACAAATATATATTATTCTAGTCTGATAACTACAAGCTGTAAATGGGTGAAAGGAAAAGGAGTGTTGGAACCAAATGGTGGTATTAAAAATTGTATAGCAGTTTTGTGCGTTCTAAAAACAGATTTCAAAGCCCCTCACGGATCCTATAAAATATGTCGATATCTAATGTTGCTGTGTGGAACAGTTGTGCATGCATTAATAGAATGGCATCACCAAACTGTTGTAGTATTAAAATCATAGAGGAGATAGATATAAAATATTTCAAAATTTAACCTACCGGTGCAGAACAGTTAAAATTGCATTTTTTTAAATAAAAAAAAATAATCATCCATAGTTTTCTTCGTTTTCACAATCGTCACAGGTCAGACGAATGAAATAGACTATGTCACATGCATGGTAGCAGTCAAAGGCAGATGATCTAATAAAGTTGTCGCTAGGGCCACTAGGCTAAATATTACTGTTGCCGCATCTAGCTAGTTCATTGTGACAAACAATGAACAATATGACAAACAATCATGACTATCATTATGAAACGTTGCTGTGATATTATTATAGCCTTTGACACTTGCACCTAACCTCTTACCCATGTGCCCCTTACACCAAATCTCCAAAATCAACAACCCCCACCAACCCTCTCATTGTGTACGTAATATAATAAGGGATGGTCCCAATATTTTAAAAATTACTACCAATCTTTTTCTCTATATATTCACTGGCAGGTTTTTATAGAAAGGGCTAAAACAAAAAAATGTTATCATTTGTTTCTTTTAATCTGAAAAAATTCCAGAATATTTTTCAACCAGGTCTCTAAAAATTATAGTTGTGAGGAGTCTCTGCTTAGGATCATAAAAGAATCCCAAAATCACATTTTGTATAAGCGTAAGAGTAAACAAGTCTGCTGTATTTTTTACAATTCTGGGGGAAAAGTTCAGAGAACAAAATTCTGAAAATAACTTACTTATAAAAGCAACCATAATAATATTGCTGATGGTGTATCAGATTAGTAAAAAATAACAGCAGTTACCTAATATTTGATTCTGGCTAAATTAAACACCCAATTCCATAATATAAAATAATTCATGTTCGCAAGCTCTACTTTTGCTATAGAAAAACAAAACAGTATTTAAAGAGTGATTAATTTGTTCACCTGACTGAGAGCATTCATTGCTTTAAGTTTGGCTGCTTCTCCACATAAATCTGTTAGTACATTTCTTGATATAAGAGATTCTGGTGGACACTCTACATCATCACTTTCTGTTATTTAAACAAAACATTTTTTTAAATGATTTTGATGAAAAAATACAATATAATTGGTTGACTTTAAAACCACAGACCTTTGGCTAGATGAGGGTTGGGATAATTTAGCCCTTGGTCTTAATTTAGCTGCTCCAAATATGACAAAAATTTAGTATTTCTGCAATATTCTCTAATTTTTCACTGAAACTTCAATATGAACCATTTGTTTGTTTTAAAATAAAGAGAAAGCTTTTATGCGCTGAAAAACTACCTATAATTAAAGGTAAATAAAATTGAATGATTATATGAAATTTTTGTCCCTAAAAAATATGGTGTTGTCCTCTTAAAACAATATGAAATTTTGGCAAGCAGCTCCCATTGACCCAGTGTTTCACCACCGTTTGAATATATATTTAATATTTATTTAAGCACGATATAAATTAGTAGAGTTTTAACAAAGATATGAAATATATAGGGATTATATTAATCAGATAAGAGGGCAAAGCACTGGGACAGATAATCAAATTCAGCAAGAATTTACTAAATCCCTTTTTACTTTAGCTAGTGCAAGTTCAAGGATTACTGGTTTGTTAAAATATTTTTAAAAACTTAATTCTGGTTTGAAGTAATAATATTGCCATTAAAATGCAGTTATATTTACTTAAGAATTAAACAAAATTTAAATAAAAAATATATTTTGTATGTTGCAGTTTTATCAAAATTTAATTATGTGTTCCACAATAAAAAAATATAAAGAATAAACAAAAATCGCTTTAAAAAAAAAATTATTTGCCATAGAATTTTTAGCTATTGTTCATTTCAGACGATAAAGAATTTTATTTAAATAAATTTAACAACTTTTATAACATGAGTTTTTTCCACTTCGTAATGGTACGGTGTGAAATTATTAAAATTAGATTCACATGAGAAAAAAATTATTTTTTTTAATTATCTTTTTAAATATACCACAAATATATGGTGACAGCCCACTTTGCCCACTCAAAACTAAACGAGTTAATAAATAGAATTGTTGAAACAGAGCTATTTCAGGTGAGATATTTAATTAACAGAATACTGATCTTAAGATTTTAAAGAAAATTGAAGATAATATTTTAAAAAAATTTAAATATTAATTTTGAAACGTGCTAATTAAGATTTGTTTGTATCAGAAATGCTAAATATACAAATGACTAAGTCATACCATGTTAAATATGCTAATAATATTTGCAAACCTTTGTCTAAGCTTGCAAAGTTTGCATCTTCGGCACAGTCAAAGACAAGGTCTGTACAGCTATTGAACTTTTTGAAAATATGGCTATCCATGAGATCTTCTAAGCTGACAACTGGTTGAAGTAGACGTTTCTTATTCTGCTTTTCTTTTTTTTTCATTCTTGCATCTGAAAACAAAAAAAATCTATTTTTTTAGGATGCTAATGAAAATGAATATCATTCAAGGTCTCATACATAGTAATCTTAACAAAATTTCCATTTTTTCTGTATCCACTCATTTTTAAAAGTTTAGTTTTTCAAACTTTTGGGAACCCAAGCTAGACATATTTTAAATTATTTTTTTTGGCAGTCTAAAAAATTTTTGTTATTTAAAAATCAACTTAAAAGAGGAAAAAAAACACACCATTTTTCTCTAATTTATAAACTGAATAATAATTAATAAGGAGAAACTTACTATAAGCCTCTTCATCTTCTTCCAATTCAACAAACTCAGAAAGTGAAGATGCATCATCGCTTTCCACAGAGTTTCGCCTACGCTTTGCTGGATAAATTAAATAAAGTTATTTTAAAACCTTTGATAAGTCAGAAAGAAAGACACCAGAGACAAAAATACATCAATAATTATTTTTTTTAAATTTCTAAAGAACTGTAAGGAAATTCAAATTATGCTGAATCAAAAAGTTCCTTTACCTGCCCTATTTTTGTAAGTATCATCTGAACGTCTATTTCTAGAAGCTTGAAAGGACATATCTCCAGGTCCAGCAGCCCTAGATATGTTGTAATTTGTCTCTTCTCTCTTTCGCTTGCGAGAGTCACTATCACAGTCAGTTTTAACTAGAAATAATTTAGAGCATATACTTAAGATGTTCTATAATTTATATAAAAGATAGCTCACTTTACATTAAAACTTTACGATCAGTTAACCACATTAAAAATAACATTTTTGATTTACTGTTTTTGTGGGACGCAAACAACTTTTAACTACACTTTAAAAATTATTTTTTTTCAAATCACAATTTTTTTATTTAAGTATTACCCAATATGTAAGAATATTTTAAAAACATACCAGATCCTCCTTTCTGGATTGTTTTCAATGTCTGAGGAAAAATTTAGAAATTTGAAATATAAATGCTTTATAGAATATACAATACAAAAATGTGGTGGGGGTTTGTGTGTGTGTGTGTCAATACTCTGAAAATGACTTACAGGTCCATTCATTGGTATTCAATTTTCGGTAAATCTCTAATAGCAGTGGTTCCCAAACTTTTAAGTTTGGCGGACCGGTGAACAAGTTTTGAAATTTTACCAGAGACCGGTGCATGATTTATTTTAATACATTTATTTCTATTTGACAATAAATATTTATCTTATGGGGACCGGCAGTGCTACGTATGTGGACCGGTGAAGGTCCACGGACCGCCATTTGGGGATCACTGATTTATAGTGAACGGATCATTATTTGTCTTAACATCTAATAATTCATCTAATTCAAACTTATCAAAATAAACACCATTCTATAGTATTCAATATATCCTCTTTTTTTTTTTTTAATGACTTACCGAGGGGTCTAACATTTCCAACATTACAACAGGTTCATTTTTCTTCTTAGTTTCCATTTTTGATTTTTGATAAGGGAGGGACCGGCAGTGCTACGTATTTGGACCGGTGAAGGTCCACGGACCGCCATTTGGGGATCACTGATTATAGTGAACGGATCATTATTTGTCTTAACATCTAATAATTCATCTAATTCAAACTTATCAAAATAAACACCATTCTATAGTATTCAATATATCCTCTTTTTTTTTTTTAATGACTTACCGAGGGGTCTAACATTTCCAACATTACAACAGGTTCATTTTTCTTCTTAGTTTCCATTTTTGATTTTTGATAAGGGGGATCTGCATTCTTAACTGATGGACTTGCAAGATGTGGGGGTAAAGGCAGTCTACTAATATTAGTGTTAATTTGGTCACCAATATCATTCAAAACAATCACAGGCTCAGGAAGAACAGGAACTGAATGAACATTAGTCCTGTTTGGCAATACATCCATTAATTTTTGTACAGGTTCCTGAGGTTTCAAGCCATGTGGATACTGTAGATCAATACTAGGAGGATTCCGAGTGCGCCTATTATGGCGAGAAAGGGGATCTGTAGAATTTTGGGAAAGGACTGGAGAGGCTTGATTCGTAAAAGGATGTTGTAGAACTCTCTCTGCAGCTGTTGCCTGAGCTGGACTGGCAACTAAAATAAAAATTAAAAATTATTTTAGACAAGAGTATTTATTACATCCTCCTTAAGACCAGTTGGTTGCACCCTTCAAATATACTAGCAATGCAGAGACATACATCAATCAGAAGCAATCTTTTTTTAAAATAAAAATGATTCTTTTGCTTTTGTTGCTTTATTAAAAACACACAAAGAAAATACATTTGATTATCAAGATTAAAAATAATGTTTGTGTTATTTAAAAATTATCCCAAGTATAATATGGCGAAGCCTTGACTAACTTGTAAATTTGTATCAAAAGATGATGAAAACATCTAATAATCTGCAAAAATATTTCAGCTGTCATGCATAGTATTACAGACCCTCAAACTCTAAAAATCGCACAATATCATCACAAAAATCGTTCAATAAATTATCTTAATAGTAAAAAAAATAAACATACAGTATAATAATGTTACTCCTCAAATTCGTACATTGTACGCCAAAATTGTTAGAGTAAACAGGTCTGGTATTAGTAGCTAGGTCAAATGAAACAGCATTTAAAATTTATGTGACACTGAGACAATTTTTTTCTTCTTAAATAATTTTTTAAAAATTAATAACAATAATAGTGCTATTTCCAAACTTTGTGCATTTTTATATGTAAATGAAACAAATACCAGCATGAGGCATATTTAATAAACATTTTTTTAAAAATATTCAACAATTACTTCAGTTTAAATTATCTGCACAGATTTTTCATTTTTCACAATAGTAAATTACCTGCATTAGGCTGATAACTAGTTGAAATTCCAGAGTTGCTCTGATGACCCATTCCAGCACTTGCAGCAAGATATGGACTGTTGCTTGGTGAGGCATATACATTAGGTGGATATCTAGGGGACTGAGCATGACCATGTCTGAAAGAAATTAAATAACTATAAAATGTTTGACTCACATTTTCTTTATTACAGTGTAGACATTAATTATGGTAAATGATTTTAAGTTCTTTAAAAAAAAAAATTATAGTCTTTTATGAATAAATTTATTCATTAAAGGCTTCTATTCTCTAATAGACCATATTGTCTACCCACCTTGGAGACCCACTCAGCTGATTATTATGAGAGGAACCATGAACAGGTGCACTGGAGATTCTTTGACCTTCTTGAAGGAAACTACTGAACTGTTGTGCATGGGGATGAATGCCTACAAAAATTCCAAATAACTCTCTTAATTTCGACAATCCTATATAAAAAAACTAACAAAATGATATGTAGTCAAGCAAAATAGTCCTAAGCTATAATGTTTACAAGAATATGATTTTCTTCAGCGACTTTGACCCTAAAATTGCTTTCAACTACATTATGATTCACTCATAATGCAGAAGTGCAGAAATGAATATAGCACAAATCAAGAGCACTACCATTTATAATATGAGTTAGAATTAAGTTGTGTTTATTTATAAATGTACAAAAAACAAATTAAATTTGAGTAATATAAATCTTAAAGTAATAATATGACTGAAAAATCCTACTAAATTTATGTACAAATATGAATTCTCTTAATGTGTCTAATCAGTAATTCCCAATTAAATCAAAGGGTCATAACAAGGATTCAAATAATCTATTTTTAAAAAATATTGCAGAGATTTAACACTAAAAAATTATTTTTTTTAAAAATAACCCAGGAACATATATGAATCATTTCAGAAATATCTTCTTTCAATTTATCAGCTGAGCTTCACCTTCATAAATTTAAATATTCCAAAAGGATTTTTAGGTGTTACATCAACAATAGTATTCAAGACTACTGATGTACATGTGCATGTCAACTTAATTGCTTCAGCTATAAAATTTATGACATGACTCGACACTATAGGTTTCTTAAAATTTACTTAAAAGTGGTAAATTTGTTCTATATTTTATCACAGATTCATTTTTTAAATCACTTGAGATCTGTCTAATCAATGGCAAGAAAGTTTTATTCAGTTATTTTGAGGACGGAATTACAAATATAACCAATCAAATTTTGTATTATTACCAAATTCCCAATCATAGAAATTATCACTGCAAGCAACAGTTTTATTACAATAAATGGCAAGAAAAAAAATTGAGGACCACTATACAGAAAAAATTAGATAGTACTTAGCATTTGAGCATTCTTTAGTTTTCAGATAAAACGAGCTATAGCACTATTTCCTTTTTTTTTTAAAAAGTTACTTCAAAACACAAAAATGATAATTTAAGACTCTAGTCAAAATTTACTGAATCCAAAGAATGCCAATGGATTGTCTTGAGATCATGTAGCATGGTCAAGTGGTAATGGTGCATAAAAGGAGCATCATTGGCTTGTACCGAGAGCAACTAAGATTGGGCATAGGGAACTTAATTTGAAAACTAATTGACTAACAGGAGCAACAACTATACAAATTTCAGCTTACAGATTCCTGAATGACAATTAAACATACAATAACGCTACATTTAGAACTGCTGATTATAGGTTACATAAAATGAATGTGAAACTGATTAATACACTTTTTAACTAAAAAATGGCACAAGTGAAACAAAAACATTAAAAGGCCCCATGATCATGCATTTGCACACCGGCATGCTGGACTGCCCTTTTGTATTTATTAATAAAGGAACAATTTTTTTCAAAAACTTCTATCATTGTATGCATACAATTTAAAACTGAGCATAAAAATATCAAACTTGTTTTATACTTTCAAAGCTAAGGGTCAGCCAAAGGCAAAATTTTGATCTACGCAATGCAAAAATTAGACAGTGGGTAAAAATATAGTAGAGAATCTTGCAAGCAAAAGGATTAATATTTTATGTTATTGCCTGGTTAAATTATGTGTAACCACATGAAACTTACACCCAAAGCTATTCCTAATGAAAGTCACTTGAAATTTTACCAAGATTTGGCACAATTTAATCTCATAAAATCATCACGGTTTGATACGACAACGGTTTGTAAGCTCAAATTTCCATAAAATATACTTTTACAAATCATGATGTAATTATTAAAAAAATAGACAACTATGGTATGTAGTTTTTTCAAGGTTAATGAGAAATTATAGAACAAAATTTCTCCCAACTACACATCCCCAATTCTTAAAATATGATGAATTAAGTATAACCGTAAAGTAGTTGTTTTTTTGTGTGAGTAAAATATAAATGAATACTCTATCCCATGATGTGAATGTAAAATAATATATGCATTAAAGTCCCTTCACCAGAAGATTTTACCACTTCCATTATCTAGAAAAGAAAAATAGATTTTTAATAATTTCATTCAGTGGGTTGAAAGCAACTTAAAAAAAAGTTAACAATATGCTGCAAGGGAAGTTCACTATATATTTTTTTTTTTTAACCCTTATTAGTGAGTTCTGTTGAAGAATTTTTTGAGACTCAAAATTACAGGTTCATTTCATACTTTCAAAATTGCCTACCTGATTTCAGAATTTGTCAAAAATAAAAATGCATCACAACACCCATAATGTTTTAAAAAAAAATTTTTTTTTTCAAAAATTGAATTTAACAAAAAATTATTAAAAAATAAAAAATAAGAAATTAGAAAAAAAAAAAGAATTAAAAAAAATATGTGGAGCTCAATTTCCTGTTTTTCATACTTGATGAACATTAAATAAGTCCTTCAACTAAAAGATTGCTTACCCAAAAAGCCACGAATGTGCAAAACATTTATTTGAAATCTTGAGTCACAAAATGTTTAAAACTCACCAGAGCTGTTATTATAACCCATAACACCATGCTGTTGAAAGTTGTTCCCTAAGGTTTGAATGGGGCTGATAAAAAAAGTACCATCTAAATGTGCATTGCCTTGAAAGATATGGGGATCCTTCCGCATCACAGTTTGCAGCAAGCTGGGGATGTATCCTTCAACTGAATTTGTGCTCAGTGTATCTTTCAGTTCTCTGTTGACATAAGTAAATCAAATCATACAAATAAAAAAGAAAATAAAACCAATACAAATTATAGTTATAAAAACTACCAATACCAGATTGTGAAATAAAGCAGCATCTCCCAAAATGGGGTGCACTCATTGGGGGGGTGTGTGTGTGTGTTTAAGTCTCTGGTATAGTAAGTATTTTTGTTCCTATTAGTTAAACATACCATTCTATGTGCTCTAGATGGGAAAAAAGGCTGAGAAACAATATATTAAAGCAAGTGTATATAGTAACACACACAAAAAAGGAGGGGGGTGGGGTGTTTGGTGTTATATGTATATATATAAAATGAAAATGATAAAAACATGGCTAATTTTGTATTATTTTTTGTGAAAGAAATGACAAGAAAAAAAAAAAGAAAGAATTCTTGATGACGTAACATTGTAAACGATCCAAAATACTTACATCTGACTGGAATTGGTCTGTCGTAAGGCATGTGCAAGCTGATTGCCCAAGCCTTCATCTGATGAAGCCAAAAGTTGTCGGGCATCTTCAGCTATCTTATGACTATACAGCAGTGATTTGTTCTGGACAGTCTGAGGTAAAGGAGTGGGCAAGGGAAGCTGCGGCAGCACTGAAAAAAAAAAGTGCACAATGAAATTATGTATGCAGGTAAACTAGTTTTAAACTGAATGATCTTTCTCTTTACAACTCACAAACATTTTTAAATGAACACAAAATTAGATACTTACGATCTGTCAAACTTGCCACCCCAGCCAAAGTTGTGATAGGTACACTGGGGGTTTCACCGTTCATAATGCATTTATACTACATCTCTTTTTCTACACAAAACTGAAAATAATTTGAAATCAGTCAAATAGTTAAGACAAAAGTAAGGACTGCAATGATAAAATTCTTGGAATTACTGTTGTGAAGAAAAGATTAAGGCCGGTATTCTAAGTCTAAAAGTTGAAGGGAAAAATACCAGTAAAAAATACTTTTTGTGAGTGACTTCATTAAGTTAGTACATGTGATTCAACTATTACAAACAAATTTAAGTTAATACTAGTCATTCTAAAATGTAAAAAATGTTAAAAAAGAGATACATGAAGTTTTTAGTAAATTTTATTTCAAGACCATTAAAATTTCTTTTAAATAGCTTTAATTTTGTGGTGGTGATACACTAACCTCTCCACCATTCCCTATCATCTCCCTTTGAAGATGACAAATAATTGTAGGGAAAGGTCCAACTTTTGACGGAGAAGGTGTCAAAGCACTACATTGGGTCTCAGTGTGAAGCGTACTTTACAAAGATAAATAATTGTTTGCCAAACCTTGATATAACTCTCTCTACCCTGCTTTATCCCAATAACCCCATACTTATTACTTAAACTGTCTTCTACTCTCCCCTGCCATCCAATTAATACCAAGAGTCTGCCCTAATGCCCTGACCACAAATTTGCACATCCATCATCCCAAACTTTTTAACTCCCCTAACACTTTTAAGAATTAACTTCGGTAAATTCAGAGAACGCGGCCCTCATTTATTTCCATGCGCGCACTTTTACGTCTTAAATCGATCCCTATGCATAACCTGAACCCTAAATCTATGCCTAAGCCTAACCCGAACCCTAAATCAATCCCTATGCCTAACCTTAACAAAGTAAATGTGGGCCGCTAAATCTGAAACAGCCTTAACTTCTTTAGGGATTCCCTTAGACCTAATTTATGTCCAGCAAGTTAATAGAGCCTTAAGGGCTACGCAGAAAATCGGTTTGTAAGCACTGCTCTATGTCATTCAGTGTTAAATTGCTACAAATGATCCAATAAAATTTTAATGTCTTTAATATTTTCTAATTTGTCCTATGCGTTCCTGACTACAGTATTTCTGCAGATACATCCTAGGTTACATCTACCCAAAATATACCCCAATTGAATTGACGGAGCGAAATATAAATAAAAACTAAAATTTTAATAGTAATTAGGCAAATCCTCGTTTACTAATAGTTACCTTGGACATTTTTTAGAGAGCTGACAAAAATACAGCAACATAAAATGTTTAAAAACTGATTTTACAGACATACAAAAATACATAGTCATAATAGTTAAGATGGTTCAAATTATATCAAATGCAGTCCATGCATGTTCATAGCTAGCAAGTCTGTTAGACAATAGGATTTCCAATTATCGGTTTTCAATAACACTTATCTGCTGTTGGTTTTTACAAAAGTCAAACTGTAAATTGACTTTACGTGTACGTCCAAGAGTTTAAAGAATTAGTTAATAAAAGTTTCTATGGATAGTTGCTTCACTATAGTCTTCTGGTATAGTAAATATCAGACGTAGAATCCCCATCGCCGATTTTAAATGAAGTTTTTATTGTTTTGATGATGGCATCGTCGATGCATAAAAAACGGGTTGTTTAGTTTCTTGTCTCAGCCATTTGTTTTAATTACTTTTAATCAAATCGAGAATTATTTCCCTTTGATAAACATCCAGATTTCCTTTCTTTTAACGAGTTTTTACTGAGAATGAAGTGTTTAAAGCTGTTGTTTTTGTTTACAAACATGACATCTCAACCTGGCCCAACTAGCGATCGATCTAATAAAGACAGAAAATATTACACTGATGATGATTCAAACAGTAATTTAATGATTTTGGATGCAGATGCTGATTCTGATGAATCTTAATAGCAGTACTAGTGACAAAAGTCATAATTAAATTGATAATTCATCTTCTGTTGAACAACCAGTCCCACCCCAGCTAAAGTGCCTTGTAAGAGTTAATACTGTTTCTGCTTTAAATAATGCACTAATTGGAAAACTGCTGATTTTTTGGAACTAACACTGAGGGCATTTCAGATTTTTACCTTTTAACATGTAAGTGTAAATTTGGAGCTTGTGACTACTAAGTCAAATGAACTTGACTGTCTTACTTTGCTTAGCACACAAATTATACACAAGCTTGTACTCTCGTTAAATGAGTATGCTACCTACAGAATTAAAAACAAAACTCTAACATGCCAGAGATATATTTTAAGAGACTGGAAAATTGCCTATAATTATGAGACCTACAAATTTATTGCAGTACCGCTGGCAACAATGATGGGGATGAACTCTTGTCCATTTGTTTGTGACTTTTGGTCAACAGGATGTATACCCCCAGGCATGTCAAAATGTTTCAGAGAGAATGATTCGAAGTCTTGTAAAAGTGTTCTATACATGCTACAGAAAATAAGTGTAAAATTTAGCCTTTTATAACCTCACAAGGCCAGAAGATCAGAGAAAATCTAGAAAAATAACCTTCAGAAATTTCAGGCTACAAACGCATTAACATAATATGCTGCAACCATTATTTCGGAGGGGAAAAGATTTCCGAAGTTCCAGAACAGGGTGTGGACGCCCCTGCGCCGTGACAGACTTATCAGAGCAAAACATGTGCCTTTTAACTCCAAAAAGGACAGAGTGTGCAAACACCATAAAACAGGGCTAACTGTATATGTTTGTGCTGGATGTGAGTCAAATCTGCACATCATCATGGATTGTTTTCAGGCTTACCATAGCTAAAGCCTGATGAATAAATATGACGAATTTATGGTAAATTTTCCATAATAAATGTTAATACATATAAGGACATTTTTGTGTGTGGCTGTCATCTTTATTCTTTATGATGAACATATGGATATAGTTCAGAAAAAAAAAAAAACTTTGTTACACTTGGAATTATAGTTTTCTCTTTCTGTGACTAAGAATGAGCGTTTTGCAAACATTTGGTGAGTTTTTTTGTTTTTGTTTTTAATTTATTTCACTTAAAATCACATTTATATGTAAAATTTAAAACCTAAATCATCATTGTCTGTAAAGAGCATGCATTCCTCTTTAATTCCATACCAAACGTAAAATTTTAATTTAAAAAAAAAAAAAAATGTTATGAATGTTTAGAGATAACATATTAGTGCATAATAACTATGCAAAGTAGCTAATTCCGTCAGAATGAGGAAAATAAGGTAAATTACGGGGACGACTGCCACTATTTTATCAAATTTCACGAATGTATCCCTAAATCGATCCCTATGCCCAACCTGAACCCTAAATTGATCCCTCAACCTAACCTAAACCCTAATTCACTGCAACTATAATAAACACTAAAAGACGCTGTGGCAGCCATCCTCAGATTTAGCCGAAAATAATTCCAGAGTCTAAGAGTTAAAACATGGAGTTACTGATGCAGGCTTCTGGTAAAAATTTTTGTTTCACTTTGCTGATCTGACACTGTGATGATGACATATTTCTGCGAGTCATGTCATAAGGTTTATTCTTCAATGAGTAGGACAAGTATAATTAACGTGAAACTTTGAGAGTTCCTCTCAGCTATAAAGGGCACATGTTGCCAGTGTGTCACATAAATTAATCTATGCCCCACCACCCTTTCTTTTTACTACCAAGTACTCACCGCCCCTGCCTAATACATAGACTTAGCCTACTTAAACTTTTGAACATTTACATTGTTCAGCAGTTTGCAACACAGAAAAAAAAGTGTGCAAAAATAGTTAAAAGCCATAAGCTGAATTGGCTTATTTACAAAAAAAAGGTATTATAGACAGCTAAAAGGAAATGCACAGTAATTTTTTAATAATATTCAAATAGTCCAGAATCTGTCTAGTCTTTTAAGTGGCAATAAGTATAAGTTATAGTAAATATAATTTAATAAGGCCAAGGAATGCAAAACCAACTAGTGAGTGAGGTAGTCCAATCAATTAGGGAGGTAGTTTTCATTCATTGTTCAGTTTCATATTCATACTATACAATTACAGTTAAATTGACATCAGTCTTCAGTACATGTAACATATATATTGCAGTACTTGTAACATATATATTGGTTAGCTCAGTTAACAGTAACTAAGTTAAACACTAGAAGTATTTCATTTTACTTAGATCTAATTAAATGCTGTTACTCTCATCTTAGTTACTCTCCTCTCACCTCTCAACCTCTGGCACTGCCTATTTGAATTTATCTCGGCCTATCAACTCATACGGGACCGTTTACCGAATTAGCCCAAAACCTTTAAATTCCCATAAAATATTGATGATAATCGTAAACTTTTCCAACTCGACCCAAATAATTATTTACATTATTAGTCGTTAATGTTAGAATTAAATTTTAACACATTATTATCCATGTTTGTCTTTTTGGTGTGGCCTACCGTACGATAACGCGGATGAATACACAGCAGAATTGTAATCAAAACAATCCGTAAATTGGGTATACGTGAAAGAGAGTATTGATTTTCCCCCTAAAAATCATGATGACTTTAAAAAAATCCAATAATAAACAGATAAAAGGATGCTTCAGATTCTTTATCCCCTCAAATAAATAGTATTGCCGTTTAACCAACACTTATTGGCTTGACTTGCTTTCTTGATAAAAATCGTCCATTGTTGGTTGAGGTGGGACAAGACTCACCTGTACAAATGGTCAAAATTCCACCCTTATGAATGATATAGCATAGAAATTATATCCACGTCAACGAATATTATTTACATGATGATACTAACGTAAATCCATGGTGATTAATTAGTTGTAAACATTGTAAATTTGTAATTATTTCCAAGAATTCGGCTGTACCCCGCGCCAAAAATTAGCACAACCTAACGACATACTATGTTTAAACATCCGCTAAAATTAGTTCTTGACCTCAATCATCAGCGCATTAAATAATTATTTCTAGTGTGTTTTCTACACATTTTTATTTAAAAAATGGCAATTAATTATTGTAATTGTGCAAATTTTTTGAAATGTATTAAATAAATAGAACTGATTTTCGTGCGCATTAATTCAGAAAGCACTGTTTCAGCCATTGAAAATAGTGCACCAAGAAGCCTAAGATCAAACAAACGTAACTATTTACTAACAATGTTATACTCAAATAACGCAAAGGCAACAAATATAAAACGAAGTATAATATAATCAAAAGCCAAATGTCAAAAACCGTATTGTTCACTCTCACACACTAAACGTCGAGTTACAGTTTCGCTGCAGAGGCATCTAGGGAGTTGAAATTCACTAAATAACCACACGAACATGGACCAAAGACGAATATTTGTTATAGGTGTCGGAATGACTAAGGTTTGTTTGGTTTTATTTATGTCATTTGTGAACCTTACTTGCCAATGCCAACCTCAAACGGAAACCATTGTCGATATTTTCAATAAATTATCATTCACCTTCCCAATAATTCAAATAATTCCAAAATTTCAGATTTGATCATAATTAAAAGGGTTGAACTTCGATATATCTTTTTAGTGTATTAATTTGATTGATGAGACAGAAACAATTTGTGTAAGTCATGTAGATTTTAAAAAAAAAGATTTTGAGTCATTTTAATTTCTAATTACTATAAATTACATTACAATTACATGCCGAGAGAAAAAAAACAACTACCTACCTTTTTATAAATATAAGAATTTATTTAAAATTTAACACAAGCATATAATTAGTTCAAATCCAATAAACAAGTTGTTGTTTTTTTCTTTGTCAGTTTCAGTAATGATTTTTCCAACTTTTCTGTTCTCATTTTTCTTAACATACCCTCAAATTTTTCAAAATAGAAAGTACTGATGTTATTTTAAAGTTGTTTTGTTCATTGTGTTGCATATTGCATTAAGAATGTCTCCTGAAAATTTAGTAGCATTATCTTTTAAAATAAAAAAGTTGTGGGCAAAATAAAGCAGATATTTGGAAAGTCAGTCACAAGTTTTCACCGTCAAATACAAAGATAAATAAAGGGGTATTAAAAAAATTCACCAAAAAAATCATAACTTCGTTTCTATAAAAGCTAGAAAAATGAAATTGGTCTTTTTGCAAAGCTTATAGCTAGCCCTTTAAAATCATATATCATTTATGGCAATGTGACAATATTGAAATTTTTCTGTCAAAGTACCTAAATGTAAGTCAATATGAATATTATCAATGTCAATTAATATATTGTCATTGTATGTCATATTATCATACAAAGAATAGTATTTTATTTTACTAATTAAAATTAAAGTAACATTGTGTTGTTACATAGAATACAAATTTAAACAGTTTTTAGTTTTGGCAAAGAGCAAATCATCAAAAACCTTCACCAGTAGAACAAAAAACATTCCTGCCTATATTATGATATAAATACTGATAATATATGAATGTATAAATTAATTTACATAATTATATATTATATATATATATATATATAATTATCGAAAAGAATAAGAATGGGTACAAGTCCCGTAAGACTTTAAAAAAATAAAGCTCAGGAAAACAGAAAGAAAGTGGGAGTACAATTTATAAGCCTAACAGGAAAAATACATTGCAGCTAAGTGAAGTGAACTTTAAAGTTTATTAAAATTAAATTAAAGTTAGTTATTGTTATGTGACTTGTAAAAGGCACTTCAATAATATCGCCTGGGAAATCCTGATTTTGATAACCAGTTATCATAATTTTGTTATAGGCCTAGAAAAGTATAGGCCAGCCCCACCCCAACTTATTATTTGTAGGACCCATTATTCATTATATGTAATAGTATTTTAATGAATATTATATTCTTAAGGCATAAATTAAGTTTTAAAAAATTTAAATATTAACTTACCTTTGATATTGAAACATCTTATATTTAATCACATATCACAATATTGCAAAAGAGAATTATTATATAATCCTCAGTATTCTCGTTCTAACACACTTTCTGCCACAATAATCCAAGAATTTCTTAAGATACTACTATAGAATAATCATACAAAATTTCTATCACCCGCCCAAGTTGATTCTAACAATACATGTTGATTTCTGAAACAAGATTTATAACTTAAACTAAAATATAAACCAATTTTTTTGTCATATTCATATTCCAATGAGACTATATACCGGCTATACATAAATATATAGAAAAAAGGTAAATAAAAAGTATAATTGTCAATCACTGATATAGCTAGGGTTGGTGACACCAGATGCTGTAAAATCATGGTGTCACCCCCCTCTCCCTGACTTCCACGATGGATTTCTTTTTGTTAAAATAAGTCCGCAGTATAACAATGACAAGAACAAAAACAAAATAATTGACGGCGAGGAGGTAAATGTATTTAAGAACTATAAAAACGTCGTTTGTTTTTGTTTTTTTATACATTACATTTATTTTATTGAAGAAAAAAAATTTGTCGTCTTCAAAGCTGCAAACATATCGATCATTTGATCAATATCCTTCATCGTATCACTATCATTTGATAGTAGAGCCAGATCAGAAAGCCTTTACTGTCCCATGGTGGATCGTAAACTTAAACTTTAATAAAACACGCATTTGGATTGGTTACATGTGTGGAAAATTTATGTGTGATTGGTTATCCTCTCATGAAATTTGGTTAGATAGAGCAGTGTCTTCTATGTAAATATGCAATTTTTCAATATGGTGTCACCCTCTGAGATTGTGTCACCCTCTGTAATTATGCAATTTTTCAATATGGTGTCACCTTTTGAGATGGTTACCCCCTTAGCTACACCACTGCCGTCAATTTTAACTAAATGAATCCCTGTATTATTTGTTTATACTTATAAATGTTAAACAGATTTGAAATTATTATTTTTGGGACTTTTAAAAAAATTATATTTAAACAAAATTTATTAATTAAATACAAATAGGTGAAGAATCAGCATACTCTATACATTTAATAAGGAAATAAAGATTTACATTTTTTAATTTGCGGAATATTAACAAAAACTGAACGTGGCTTTATTTAGTAGAACTCATATTTAGCTATGTTTCTGTAAATATTATTTTTTTGTCTCATTTTATAATAAAGTTATAGGCGTAAAAGCAAAATAAGGGTCACGAAATGTGGAGGAAAACTCAGTTGTGCAAAATGGTTTTGAGGTCCTTAATAAAAAATTCATAACTTTTTGACAGGTGCTCTTGGTGTTTTGTGACCAGGCACCATGCAATTGTAGTATTTTTATATTTTTGTATTGAACTCAGGTAAAAAGGTTGAATTTTTTTTTGGGGGGGTGACTATTAATTAATCTATAAAGAGCCACGGGTAAGGTTTAGGAATATTTTTTAAAGGCCGGCGGGCAGGGTGTAGGACTGTCTGTAGGACTTTTGTTTTAAGTCAGGCATATTTTATAGAAAATGAGAAGTTAACTTTTTTTTTTTTTTTTTTTTTTTTTACACTGGGATCTACCGGGTATTTTTTTAAAATTCCAAGACCTGTGTAAAAGAAACTGCACTCCTGGTTAAGCCCTATATTATACTTTCTGAAATACCCTTTTTACGCCTGGGGGGTGAGCATTTTTTTTTTTTTTTTTTTTTTTTTTACACTGGGATCTACCGGGTATTTTCTTAAAATTCCAAGACCTGTGTAAAAGAAACTGCACTCCTGGTTAAGCCCTATATTATACTTGCTGAAATACCCTTTCTACGCCTGGGTGGTGAGCATTTTTATTGGCACATTTTGATAAAGTCAAGATGGCTATGAAGTTTAATTACAGGGCGAAAGCTTCTTTTTAGACCACATTTTGGTGTAAACTCTGTGTCTTTCTTTAAGTTGCCATATAGGTCAATTCTTAAAACTCTTACCTTGACTTGGTGAAAGGACTTTGTTCTTGAAAATGCAACATAAAGTTGTCCATGGCTGAAAGGAAGGTCAGGCTCACTGGGTGCAAGAATAACTCTTGGAATAAATACCCTGGTACCTTCGAAAGATACATTCAGGATTTCACAGTCATTGACTTTTGACATCATTTGCTTCATGACCAATCTGGTGCTATTGCAAAGACCTCTTGTTGGGTAAAGGTTTCATAGCAACCTTACTTTTAAGTTTAGTCTTTAAGGAGGCATACCTCCAGGTGTTAAGTTGTTCAAAAACTCAAAAAACAGGATTTGCACTGTCTTTCTGAATAGAATCTTTGCTGTTATAGCATTTTATTTCAGAATGACTTCGTCTAAGGGCATTTTTATTAAGTTCAGGAGACTCATGTTTTTTTTTAGTAAGATTTGCACAGTTAGCAATGCTGTCATCTCTATTGGATGACCTCAGGAAAGACAGCATACAAAATTCATCCATTTTCACTGCAGACTTTAGAAATTTCGAAGATGCCTTCATCTAATCCAGGCTCTTAGAATTTTTCAATCCCAAGTTTGAAAAGCCAATCTGAATAGCCTAGGTGATCTAATGGGACACTGTCCTCATTGCCACACATGTTTTTCCAACACTTAGCTGAAACTCAACGAAAAAGAAAGACTGCATCCCCAAATGGTTTTTAGAAGGAACTTTTGGATTTTCAGCTAAAACTTATTTATATAGTGTCAACTTCATTTACTACATGTACTGGGACCATTGAAACTTCAACCCAGTTTATCAATTTGGCATTATTCAGTACATTTGCCGTATAAGTTCCATGTCGAAATTACAGGTTATGATGTTTAATTTATTGGAATAGGCAGCTTGAAACGACTGGTTTCAAGTTCTTCCTCCCTCAAACACAGTTGTTGCTTAGCCGGTAAATGCACATGGCAAGACTAATTCATATTTGCTATGCAAATAAGTAAGTACTCCCTGATTACATTCCATTTAGGATTACATGTGAATGTTATAAATAAGTCTTAACATCTTGGTAATTTTGAGCTATAT